GCGATTTTTAAAAACGAGGTAAATTAAAATGATACAAGAGGTAAAAAAGATTTTTGAACACGTGTCTCATTTACAGGGCCCTATTAATAGTATTATGTACTACAATGTATCTTTTGCTCAGACAATTTTGGTTAAAGTGGTCAGAAATTGCCTCAGATCGCACCACAGAGCATCTAGAATCCAAATTTTTGTCGGGGCCCTTAAGCGGGCCCCGAACCCCACGCCTCAAGGGCTTCGCGCTTCACGCTCGCATCAGTTCTGATCAAGGTATGTTCCTCCACTTTTGAAAAGCGATTAACACCCCTGGTTGGGGTGAAATTTGATAATAGGCCTTATACCTAAGTGAGTATGGCGACACAAAATTAGAAAAATGATACAAAAAATAGGGGTATACCGTAATTTTCGGAATATAAGCCGCGCGGTGTATAAGCCGCAGCACGCAAAAATCTGCAAATTAAGATCTGAAGTCGGCGTATATAAGCCGCACCCACCGCAGCGGTTTCAATTTTGTAAGGCCTCCAAATTCTAGTCAAAAAGCTCTGAACCAGTTCCAGTTACACTACAGAAGCTATAAAAAGGGCCACAAAATTTATATCAAATCATTTTCAATCGATACTCTTACAAACAAATATGGAAATTGATGATGAGCAATAAACACCGGGAACTGCTGCCGGCTGCCCCGTCCCGGTCCCCGGCCTTAAAAGTTAGTGCATGGCCGGCCAGGCAGCCTGCGCCGCGCCGGTGAATGACAACATTTTCCCGCAGTACGTGAATAGAGTATGCAACCCACCGTGTGTTCAGTGGCGTCACCAGACTTTGATGGGGGCACTTAGGTGGATACGGATCGCCGTCCTGGGGGAGGGGTCTAAGGGGAGGGGGTGCCCCCCTCCCCTTTGGAAAATTTTCGCATACGGAGGATGGGCTAGATGCAAAATGGGGCCACATTTGATGCTAAATTCGATCTGAAGATATCTCCAGAAATTGCTATTTAACCAACTCAGATGATGGGAGTTGAATATAACAAAATATATATATTTTTTTACCAACCCAAATCTCAGATTGGGGGCACTCGGGGGGGGGGGGGGCACTAGGTTTTCCAGGGGGGGCACGTGTCCTAAGAATAAGCAGGTCCGTTTTTACCTCAAAACTTTTCAAATTTTTGTGATTTCTAGCGAATAGTAACGTAAAAAATTCAAGTTTCGATCGTAACTTTCTTCAAAAATAGTCAAAACCAAAAACCCTTTAGCGCCGTAGGAAACGATGCTGACATTTTTTGGACGAATCCATTAATTTTGTAAGGGGTGATTTAGTCCCTGTTTTGAGTTTTACATCGTTTCTTGAATTCGTTTCAAGAAAAAAATATATACTGTGACGTTAAACAACTTATTATCTAATAAAGAAATGTTTCGCACACCATAACAAGTATTAGTCGTCTTTTTTCGTTTTTTTAAAATGCAGAAATATTGGTAATTATTGTTCCCAAGAAAGTACACCCCTTCATTACCACAAATGGTGTGGTCCGCTGGGGGAAAGCATGCAGCTAGCTGCACACCACCCATGGTATCACGTACGGCTGGTCACAAGCGTCGAAGACAGCTTTCACCGTACTTTTTACCGCTCGGTACCTTGGTTTCGGTTTGTTAATGATTTTTTTAATTGATAATTCATTTTAGCAACACCTCTCTTCTTATACCAGTACATTAACTACACATGTGAATCTTATTTTTATTCTTCAGGGCTCAGCGTATAAGCCGCCAGTGTATAAGCCGCAGTAAACATTTTCATGGGCAAAATCAAGCCGCGGCTTATATTCCGAAAATTACGGTAGGAATAGTCCACATGCATAGGTTAGCAGACATTACGTAGGTCACACTTTCGTTTCGGACCAACTTCACACTTTTCCCATTTGCTTTGATTTTGCTTTAATCCTGCTCCGGGAACAGTAACTGGACCTTGCCCCCCCCCCCCCCCCCCCCCCCCCCCCCCCCCCCCCCCCACTTTTAAAAGCATTCCGCCGCCGATGACTTACACTGTCACCTCAAGCTGTTATCCGTGGCAGGGCGAAATCTCTTTCCGACACTAATAGATGGAGCAGTTCGAAAGCTTTGTTCGCGAAGCAGCAGCTCTGACTGATATACGACAAGGACAGGTTGAAGTACGTAATCGCATCAAGGAGCTTGAATCAAACATCAATGATTCCATCGAATTTCAAGGCAAATGCATCGATGCACTCGAATCGAAGGTTAAAGACCTTGATCTGTTGGCAACACGGATGGTGTGAGAGAGCAACGGCAGATCATTCAGAACAGATCAACAAACTCGAGAGATTCTCCAGGAGAAAATACCTGCGTGTTATTGGCCTCCTTCGGCAAACGGGTGAAGATTGTCTTCCGTTGGCCAAACATCTCCTCATGCAGCAAGAACATGGCAGATGCTAAGCTTGAGAGAGCGCAGCGTGACGGCCAAATATCTGACGGGAAGCCACAACATCTCCTGATTTTAACCCTGGCGGGGAACATGGTGCTTGTTTTCTTGGGCAACACACTACTACAATTGCCTCTCTCCACCCAGGAGTATAAATGGGTACATGTGAAGGTAGAGACCAAATTGTTCTGATATCGAACAGCTGCAGGTCGGAGAACTGATATCTTTCCTGATGAGCAGGGTTAATAATTGTAAAGCGCTTTGAAAGGTAGGTATAAGGCACGTTACTGAAGCACCACATTGTTATTATTAAAAGTTGAAGCGGCGAGTTGCTTTTGTACCCCCAACCTATTGACGTTACAAAAATCATAAATTGAATAAAACAGCAATTATTCGCACATGGTGTTTCCGCAAACCTTTCATTATTTAGTATCTCCACCATGCAAAGCCTCAAATCTTACTTAAAACAGTAATTCTCAAAACAAAACAAAACATAAAAACGAGCACGCAGTGTAGAAGCTTGTGTATTCCTGAAGATTTAAATAAGGCCCAAAATCCATATGTCCTGAATCTGTGTGACATGTGCAATACATAAAACAATCCGACTCTTTGTGTATCTTGTAAAGTGTATATATAGAAGGTTTATATTAGTTTATTTACTTATTTTTGTTTAAGTATTTGATGCCATGGCTATTATGCACTTTACTATCCACACTACATACATGGATTTGTTAGGCCTTGTAAAAAACGGTTGCGGAAATTCTTCTAAATGCGGGTTAAACTGAAACCTCTCCAAAAACAAAACGAAACAAACAAACACATCAATAAGAACAATAAAACCCTCAAAAGGAAGTAGAGAACCAAAAGCTCTGTTTTACTTTAATTTAGGTGTTTGCCTACAGACTTTTGAAAAACATATTTTAAGAATAAGTTTCAATCAAGCTAATATAATTTCTATTCTGATTTGCTGACTCGCCGTACACAAAGAGTTCAATAAAAAGCAGAGTAATATGAACAAGTAGTGAAAATAGATATATAATAAAAACACTCCACTACACAGCTATATTTTGCAATCATAAACAATTAAAGAAATTATTAAACTTATATTTATACCAAACAAAACTAAGATATCAAAGCATATAACGCGGAAAAGTTAAAAAAAATATTCAGTTTGATATTAAGTCACACAATATGTGGTGCTGTCAATGTGTTATTCTGTAATGTTACAACAAATATAAAAGATAATTTAAAATTCAGATTCTTGAATCTTGATTTTCACCAACAACTCCAACTGCAAATGTAATGGCTACAAATTGTCATTAAGAAAACATTGTCATTGCATTTGCGCATTTGCAAATATGGAGAACTACAATACCCGGATCATTATGCTAAGAACTTTGCTAAGTACTTATGTGAAATACATTGTATACTGTGCACCAAGGGACAATTCCTTAATCTCTTAGTTATGATTCATTTGGTTTAGCAAATTGCTTAAATATACTTTAATTGATATTGGTAATATTTTGTACCTTTATTATCTTGTAACATACTCTCGGCTTTATACATACACTCTCGTAACATTGATTCTACATGTATTTAAAATATTATTGAAATCTCAAGCCTAATTTCATTTGCATAATTATATGTATACTAATTGAGCAACATTTAAGATGATTATACCTCATACATATTTATGATCTAGCCTTGAAGGGGTTAGATGCTGGTTGCTTTCTGGTACTTAAATCGAAAAAGGACCTCAGACAAATTGCAGACAGTAGGTTAGGCCCAAAAAAAAAATCGGTCTCTGGTCAGACCAAAGTTCCGGAATTGACGCGGCCACGCGGTTTTTTTTTTTTTTTTTGGCTTTTTTTTCTTCTTCAAGCTTGGATTGTACAGACAAGGTGGGGTACTTTGCTTTTTTGGTGTCCTCATGTACAATGGTGTCCTCCATAATTTGCCTTGGTGCTTTCGACCATTTGTCTTGGTGCAATTTCCCATTCCTTGGTGCTCTTTGGTAAAAAAAAATTGAGGAGGTGCAGAAATAGAGGGCGCTGTTGGAGCTACCGCGGAACATTTTTGAAAAAAAAGATCGACGCGCATGATTAAAATCGACGCGCGCGCTGACCAGAGACCGACTTATTTTTTTTTTTGGCCTTATCTGTGGATATTTTTTTCAAAATTGTGTAGGAGTTTACACAATTTGGTGCTTATATAAAAATAACACGTAAGAACTCAGTAAATCATATTTCATTTCAAAATTACCTCATCAGAAAAATGTGATATTACAAATGCTGTGATAACAGTAGAATTCAATTTTAAAGAGAGCTTCAGAAAGTACTGATTCTGTTTCGCGTTAATAAACTGCTTAACTATAAGAAATGGAAGAGCACGTACAACAATGATACATTAGTCCTTTGAAATTTGCATAATGTAAAGTCGGATCTCAGTTATGATAATTTTACAAATATTTACAGATTAAGCAATAAACGACGTCTTACTCTACAACTGCATATCTTATGGATTAACATATCCTATTGAAAGAATCATCCAACACAAAAAAAAATCAACAAAACGTGTTACATTCAAAAGTTCCATAGAAGGGATGTATTTGTATCTAGAAATATAAGACAACATTGTTACATCTATCAACTATTTGACATCTTCTATATAATCCTAGACCAAATCAACTGAGTTGGCCCTTTATTAAAACACTCATTTTTTTTAAAACATTGTGCTCACTTTGAAGTAAAACATACCACTTGTCATTTATATGAAAAATGCTACACAACACGTGTGGAATATACTACGTCAGTCCAATCAGTTTACAGGGTCATTGATTAAAACACTCACGAATAAACATATTTCGATGTGCATGACTTTGCCAATGAGCATGATCAGTACACACCAGTGTATACTGGTGTATTTTATTTTGGTATATTTCTCACTTTATTTCAAAAGTACAGAGTCTGTATATCAAAAATATGTCAGTTTTAAGCAAGGTTCATTATTTTTCAAAGCTGTAACTACAGGCATGTACAATGGCAAGAGAGGAAGACAGTGCATTTTGTCAATGCCTAAAAAGAAAAATACAGAAAAATAAAGACATTTTCATGTTATCAATCACTTATATCTATGAACTCTTTTTAGAATTTCTTGATTACAAAAATGAAGATTAACTGCATAGCTAGTCAGCACGTAGGTGTGCTCAGAAAACTGTTATCAGATACAGGCTACAGTCTATTTTCAAGATTAATTTAGTCAGTCACTGTCCCGAATCGAATTCATTTTACCGTCTATGTAATGGTACAGCCCAAGCTATATACACAAGTACACACTAAACATGATTAATTGAAATCCCAAACTTGGTGGTTGAACACAAAATGGATCATTCCAACATGTGTAATTATGGTACAGTCCCAAATTCAAAAAGTGGTATAACCCAAGCCCGACACTTGCTCCGATCGGTTGAAATTCATGGAATTGACTCCATAGTCAACTCCCTTATTATACACCAACAAATTAAACAAACAATACACAGAAAAGAAAATCTAACTTGGACCCACACCACTTTTGACCATAGACGGTTTGTGCTTTTTCACAGCAAGTAAGACTCTTAGTACTAAAAAAAAAAAAAAAACAATTTTAAGTGCGGTGATACTACAAAACCTCCAACATCACTAGAATAACTTAAAACATTGAAAAAAAAAAACCACTTGAAAAACCAAAAACTCCAAAGAGTCCAAGATTTTACAGCACCTTCCTACAAACCCGAAGACAACAATGGACCACGATTTCACATTCTTGGAATAAACACAAATGTGTCATTAAACAATTGGGAAAACCTCTAGGATCAATAGAAACAATAGTAAAATCATCTAAGATAAAATACCAAAAAAGTAGCAGAACCTTTTTAAGTATCAATTATTCTCTCTCAGAAAACTAGTTTCACTGTCAAAGTAAACGACATTACATAGTGGAAGTAAGTATATTGTATATTCTAAAAAAAAAATTCCATCATGATTGAAAACCTATTAATTTTTTTCAACAAACTTTATTAACTTTATTTTTTTTGGTACAAAAAAAGGAAGACTACAATAAACATTGAAATATTTTAGTGAGAGCCAATAAAACACATTAAACTAGATTAATAAACATTTGACTCTAAAAGTTAGTTAACATTTACTTCTAATTTCACAAATAACAACTACCAAAACGGTCTAATAACACGGTCCAAACTTAATGTGAGTCCAACTTTAAACAAGAGCTTAATTTCATGCACGTCCAGATCATAGACGTTTTGCTAAGCCAACAATAAATTAGCTTAGCTATTTGGTTACCAGCCAAAATGCCATGGGCTGTATACTGATTATGATTGGTATTTTTAAGCAGGTTTTTTTTTGCTTAGCAAGAGAAGGTGCTTAGCAGTTCATTGCTAGCAGCGCCTCATTGTTAAGCAACAGCCGAGAGCCAGTTATACGTAGCAGACATGGCACATTATTTTAGCTGGTAATCTTATTCTTCTAAACAAATATATTCCTTGTTTGGCACTTTCATGTGCTAAATAGCTCCATTTTATTCCACTTGATCATTGGACAAATTGACTTCATATCACCGCTGTCGAGCTTGGGCGTTTGTTAGAGAAGAAGATGCAAATTGTCATTTAACCAGTGACTCCTTCATTGTCAGGCAGAGTCAGCCATCAGACGGAAGATGTCTTCTAGCTTGTCTCTTAGACCTTGCTTCTGTGCCTCATTGTCTTCGTCCAGGGACTGCAGGATCTGTTGGGGGGAAAGAGAGTGATGGGTACTTCAGAGGGTCAAACATGACCAACTTGGACCAGCATGTGGTGCTTACCTGTACCTCATTTCTGTCATAAGGAACAATTCGCAATACAGTGCTAAAGTGAAACAACAATGGGAGGTAGGGGATTCACCCTGCTATGTTATCACTTTGTAAACTAATATTTTGCTGAAGTTGCAACATACATTTTTAAAAGGAAAAAAAAGCATATGAAGCGTTTGTGCAAAATGTATGATGTGGGGTACTGATCAATCTTTGGTTTTTTATTGACCATCACAAAATTATATGGGCATGTGCACTCAATCATGCATGGGAGTATGGCAAATAAATGATCACAACTACAAAATGCATTGTCCAAATGAGCTAACGCTTTCAAATTGTACTTAGCATGAGTGTTTCTACTAAGTTTATAAAAATTGGGTATTAAATATACGTTGCATGCACGGGCAATTCTATCAGATGTCACGATATGAAAGTACTCCATTTATAATCTCTCTCAATTCATAGCCTACCTCACTCTTGAAGACGCAAGCGTAGCAGAAGTAGAGCTCATTGAGTGCATTGAGTGGCTGGAACTCATTCTGGTAACGGTTGGTGTGAGCGGCCAGCATAGCACTCATGTCCTGATCACTGACCGATGCCATATCACTGATATCTTTGTAGTATCTGAGATAAAGATGAAGAACTCGTTGAAATTAATGTCTGGAAATTTTTAGCTTCATATTTGGCAGCACACTAAGGCCAGAAAGCCTATGATTACTTCTTTAGTCGATTCATCATTACCTTTTTTATTATAGTTTTAAGTAATGGAATCTGAAAAATCTGAGGTATTTTTACATTAATTGTGGTAGTATACATGATGCTAACAAAAGAAAGTTGCAATAACTACTTGTTTAGGCCGGATCCAGAGGGGGGTTTCGGGGGTCGACCCCCCCCCCCCCCCCCGCAGATTTTCAGATTTAATTACCTATATGTCCACCTGTCCGCAACAATCGGACATAAAAATATCTGACGGGCCTGACCCCCATGCAAAATTCCTGGATCCGCCCCTGGCCTACTCAATTTTCGGAACATTGGACTTACTCTTCACATTATTTTACGAAGGACTTTTCCATCCACCTGTTACACAGAATATTTCTTCATCGTCTTCGCTCAACAGTTTCTTCAAGCTGCAATTTTAAGCGACTGCACTTGCAAGCTTTAGTGCCTTATTGGGCTTTTGATGAATCCTTGTTTCATAACAGTGTTGTGGTCGAGTTCATCACAAGTTCTCACAAGTCCATCACAATTGATTCCCTCACAAGCTATTCAAACGAACTGTGGCAAAAACATTCTGTTGCCTGTGACTGGAATGCTGACTGGACTTGGCATGGACTTGAGAGGACTCGTGATGGACTTGGGATGGACTTGGGATGGACTTGTGAAGGACTTGAGATGACTCGTGATGGATTTGGGATGGACTTGTGGACTTGTGATGGACTTGTGATGGACTTGTGATGGACTTGTGATGGACTTGTGATGGACTTGTGATGGACTTGTGATGGACTTGTGATGGACTTGTGATGGACTTGTGATGGACTTGTGATGGACTTGTGATGGACTTGTGATGGACTTGTGATGGACTTGTGATGGACTTGTGATGGACTTGTGATGGACTTGTGAAGGATAAATTATTCAAAGGAACGTACTTGACCACCCACTGTTTGTACTGTGGGATATCCTTGGCATACAGCAGCTTGTTATACGGTGAGTCCTTAGTAAGATGTTGTTCAGCTACCGAGCAGGAATCGATGAGTGTCTGACCGATGATGGACACACAGGCGTCTACCGTGTCTGTCTTGTTGATGTCAAACAGGATGGTAGGATTCATGATCAGGTTGACCCAGAACTGCAGCTGTAGGCTGTAGGAAAGGGGGTGGGAGAGGAATGGAAATGTCAGGGTTTTTCTTGCGAATTTTCTTTGTTGTTTTTTGTATTTGCTAAGAATCTTTATAAATTTGTTATAAAGTTGGTATTTTAAGTTGGTATTTTGATGCATCCATCCCTCTCATGTAAATAACTGCATCAAGTATTCAAATAAATATATAATAGCACAAACAAATACTTGGAAGGCCCTACGCCAAAACCAGGGCCTTTCCAGCTAATCTGGGCTAATTAGATTTTATATTTCACTTTTCAATTCAAGTAATGATGAATAAAAAAAAATCATGAAAAGAAGTAGACAGGAGCACAATTTGCCATAACATGTTTACATTGTGAACAAGTTCATTCATTTCTTTTTCACAAGTTAAATGTCTCTTTAGTGCTCGAAGGAACTGCCTTGTTTGGCCATGACGCATCACAATTCCAGGAGTTGTCCACGATAATAATAGGGTGAGTTTAGCGTTTGGTTCATAAAGAATGTTGTTGACTTAGTTCTATTGAGCATTAGTCGAAGCAGATCAACTCGAGTCCACATAAGTACGGACTTGTGAACTCCCAAGTTATGCATGCTGGGATACATACATTAGGCTTGGGCGATGTATCGATTAATCGCGTACCGCTAAATTTCATATGTTGCCAATAGCACCTGTACTTTATTGTACTTACGGGCTTAGGCGGTTTGGGGAATTACAGGGACTAATGGATTAAACAACACTGAGGGCCTGATTTTTGTGAATTGAGTCAGGGTTAGGTTTATAAGTGGGTCAGATTCTGAACTTCGTACTAATTGCTTTTCCATGCATGTGCAACGTCAGAGTTGGTGATGCTGCGTGACGTGGCCTGCTCATCTAGAAAGTCAAAGAGGTATTTGACGGCCAGGGGTACGTCTGATTCACCGTTGAAGATGGTCTCTAAGAGCTCATCCACAAATTGCTGCAGGATACCCTGCATAATATATAGAAAGGTAATCAGAGAACTAACTGAATTGAAGAATTGAAGGAACCCGCAATTAAACACATTGGTTATTTCAAAAGAAAGAAAGTTTGATACTTGAACCAGTTCATTTGATGAGATGAAATAACAAGCTATGTCCCGTCTGAGTGATTCTTTGTTACCATATATTTCTAAATTTGTTTTAAGCACTGCTAATGCTTCTATCTATATAACACAAAAGGGGTTTATGGCTTCTAACTAGCACTCTCTGAACAATCATTAACAATTTGGAAACTGCTAACAAGGGCTCGCTGGCTCAGTTGGTTAAACGTCAGTGTGGTGTTCCGATGGTTGCAGGTTCAGGTTCTCTCTCATGTCGGTTTCTTTGTTCAATTTTATTTCGTTTTAGCAATACAAACATTTATTTCAGTATATAAATGCAGATTTTCCAATGCAAGCATCTTGCCCCATCTTGAGCTGAATTTCCTCCAGAAAGTGACACCAAACAACGAATTGTTTTAATAATTAGACTAAAAGGGGGTACCATGACAGACGCAAGACGTTACCCCCTACCTTTGTGGTTAGTAGCCTGGGGAGACAGATCTCAGCCATCATTTTCTGGTCTCTTTCGCCCTTGCTTATACTGCCAGAGTCGGCCTGCTTGACCAGATGCCAACACTTTACTCCTTTCTCTTGGTCTATCATGGGAGAGGCTGAGGTGGCAGGGCTCTGTGCTGTGCCCAGACCTGCGGGTGGATCGAGACAAGTACATTAAATAGTTAGCCCATATAAGCAGCTTTTATACATTGAATTACATTGTACTCGTAAAACCATACAGTGCATGCGGGCGGTAACAGGCAGGGCCGTTTGGGGCACTACAGGGACTAATTGGTTGACAGTATAAAACACCAATTATGGCATGTGCTGAAACTTGGTTGGCTAAAACACAGGGTTTACTTATTGCACATGTAAGGGGTCACTAGTGCACATCTATCCACCCCCTATTGTCTGTGAGTGACAAAAGAGGGTCCTCAATTAAGGGAAATAGGGCCCTCTTGTGGTAACTCACAGACCTGACGAGGCATATAGAGTCAGAACTAGGCTGATCAATAATGTGTTATATTACATCACAATCCATGAAGCCATTATTTTATCATAAGCCTTGAAAACCACCACAGGGTGCAGTATAACCATCAAAACAAAACTTTTATGAGATGGAATTTTTGCGCCGGGGTGATATTATTAACACACTGAGTATACAGTGTTTAAAAACGTCGGTGAAGGTGAAAACCTAATTTGAATAAAACAAAACTAGTCGAGTATAGTGTGTTACTTAAAGACTCATTTGTAGTTTATGCTCAACATAATTTCATAGACTATTCTAGACCCTCACGTGACTATGTTTTAGTCGATTAAGGGAAAAGAGTCAGCGAAAAGGTGTGTCGTTATTATGGGCTAGTGTATGAAATGTGTGCTGATTGTAAACTACATGTGTCAAGTTTTAGCCTACGTGTATTACTGGTGGGTTTGTGGTATGGCTTACCATGTTGCCTTGCTGGTATGTTGGGCAGGGCTCTCACTAACCTCAAGGTTGCACCATCTGGCACCTGGTATCACATGCAAAGACAAAGTTAAGCACATTAAACTTAAAAAAAATAGCTGATACTGCTGTTTTTGCTGTCCTGTGTTAAATCGCAATATTTGGGGGCAATCCACAAACGTTCTACTCCTTTTTGTGAATGAACTGTTTTTCAAAAAGTAACTGACAAAGTTATTGTTGAAAAGCATACTTGGTTTCAAGAAAGTAATGGCAATAAACTCCCTGTGAATCTATTCTTGTTAGCATGCTGTCATTTTTCAGAAAACAATGAAAGAAGGCCAATTCCTAATTGACGCATTTTTGGAAATTTCCATTTGTATTATTTGGTTTGTAATTCGGTGAATCTGTGAATGGGTGCGCGCAAGTATTGACACGACGCACATGCGGGCGGTAGCTAATAGTCATCTGTTCAGTGCGTGACATTGCGTAGCCACATTCGGCGGAATGTGAACTCATCCCGGATGCTGAACATCTTCCCATGGGGGCGCTGTTCAACATGGCTACATTAGACAATAACTATCGCAATTCACTTTCCAAGGGACATTACAATAAACAGCCTCTCGCAAAAAAAAAGTGCTGGTAAAAAATACGCCCTAAATCGCGGGGGAAAAGGGACTATATTCTTCCCGCTAATCATGGTAAATCATATGGATGTGCCTTACTACGGATGCGAAATTTTCAGTGGGGGGCGCGATTTTTTTATTGGGGAGTTTGCGCCCCCCCCCCCCCCCCCCCCCCCCCCCCTAGCTACGCCGCTGCACTAAGCGCTTATTAAGGAGCAGTTGTACAGGGATCCCATACTGACCTGGTAATGTGCTAGCGTATTGATGCGTTTCCATTCTCCATCACATCTGCCTCGACCATCGTCATCTAGAAGGATCATACTGCTAGGGCCGTCTGGCCTGTCACTCCATTCTGCAACAAGTAGACACAACTGTCAATTAATTACTAGGACAATAACAAAATCATTGGAAGGATTACTCTCAAGTCAAAAAAATGTTGCCAAAGAAAAGTGTTGCTTCTCCCCTGCAACTTGTGCAATTCGACTTGTGAATGAATTTATTAAACTCTGTGTAGTGGTTTTAATAAGGGAATAATAATTTGGTAGAGCAGGTTTAAACTTCAAAAAGGTCGAAAAATTGACAAATTTCCAACGATGTTTTGTTTCACAATTTTCAAGTCACTGTGTTCGTTTGCGCCTACTTTACTGAACATCTCATTCTAGACCAAAAGGAAAGGGTAAATTGTCTTGCAAATTAAAATGGTGACGATTCAAATTGTGATAACGGTTCAGCCATGGTGACAAATGAATTATTTCTAGTTTCTTACCCAAGTCTAGCTCATCTCGAGTGGGCCGTTTACTGAACGGACAAGATTTGTAAATGGCATCCAGAATCTTGTCCTTCGTTTGTGAGATGGTGTCGCAGTCCAGCACCTTCAACTGGATGGGCTCTGAGGTGATGTCCCAACTGGTGGCGTAGATGTTCTGGAATAGAAGCAGTACAGGGATACGTGCATTACTCAGCATGAATCTTTGAATTTATTTAAATGTAAATTTTATGCAAATATCAGCTTCAATTTTTTTTTCAAGCAATCTCTCTTCACTAGCATCTGCTTGCGTGACATGAAATGTAAAATTGAATTCACTTAACTTTCTGAAAACCAAATAATTTAAAACTGGTTTCCTGGTTATTACGAAGGATGCTTACCAGTGTTTTAAAGTCAATCTGCTTTCGCATGACTTTAATCTCACTCAGTCCATATCGGGCTTCCCCAGTAACAACATCCACCGGACCCTTGTCAATCTTTAGTAATTAAAAATAAAAATAAAAAAAAAATCATATTAATAGTCTGGAAGATACAATTCAAAATTGAATTGGTTTCAAATGCACCTCAAAAAAAATTAATCGATTAGCTGGATGCAGACAATTAAAAGTCCACACTGATGTCATTCAACAAAAATTAGATGTTGAACAATAAAGTGCTAATAACTACCCGAGACAGTTCACCCATTCCTATTGGTCGAGAGTCCGTCACGTGGGTGGTTTAAAATGGTCGATAAAACACCGGCTGGTTGGTTATAAACACTTTTCCGGGTGTCACATTAAATTAAGACTCCTATGAAATCTGCACCCCCTTTTACTCTTTTATTGGTTGAACGTTCACAATCTTAGGCATGAGCAACAATACCAATGAGTCCGTATTTCATAATGTCCTAAGTTCACACTACACCGGCACCGCTGCATTCTGCGCCACGTCTCGCCCGTGCGCCAATCTTCATATAAGGAAATGTTTAGTACTGCTCGCGAAGGCACATATCATCAACATGAAGTTAAAAAAAATACAAACGTGAAGTAAAAGTGTTGAAAGAAAGCATTGGAAATATATATATGTTTATATACTGACTTTTATGTTTATATACTGACTTTTTGCTGAAGATGTTTACTAGCATTTATGTCACTAAGCCAGCAGTTTTCATACTGGGTGACATTACCTGTTGCTTGATGGCATAGAACAAGTGGAAGAGGGGTTTCCCCATGTTGTCCTTCAAGGAATCATACATCAGGATGGACAGCCAATGAGACACTAGCTTCTCAACGACGGCCTCGCTCCTCAAATCACGAAAAATAAAGACACATTGTACATTTCAAAGGTTGTTATTTTAAAATAATGGAATTGGATCATGATGATTTGTATAGAAACCAAATACCACAGAATGCTACATGTGCTGTGCACACTTGTATGGAAAGAAATTCATACTACAGGTTACTACTCAATGGTATTTTGTAGCATTGGGGGCGGTTAGGGTTAATGTTTGTTTGTCATAAAGACAGTTTGTTTGTATGGACAAAATTAAGTAAATTAAAGGTCCATGATCAGCCTTAAGAATCTTGAACTGGAATAAAGAGGGCTTTAGAAATGCCGATGACTGACTAAAATAAGATAATATTGTTCTATTTCAAAGGTACTCAATAATCCCTAGAAAAACGGATGGTATTTGTGCTAGCGTCACAAATTCGAAAACATTGTACAAATAATTCAAATAAAAGAGTACTCCATCAACCTTAAAAATATTGGCTTATAATAAAGCATGATTTATAAAGACGACCTGCATTGTATGTCTAACCTGGAATTTTCACATCTTTTACACAGTCAATTGTGACTGACACGTCATCCAGTCCCAAGTCGAGTTACTAGCTACTCAAACGAACTGTGACCAAGACATTCCTTTTGTACATCCACTATTACTTATGACTGGACTGTTGACGCGACTTGTGATGGACTTAATACAACACTGAAGACTCCCCATACCTTCTCAGCAGCTGCTGTGGCTCTCCCTCCTTCATGCACAACTTGATGTGTTCCTGGAGAAGGAACTTCATGTTCTGCGTCAGGAACTCCATCTTGTTATGCAGGGCGATGACCAGCAATGAGGCGATGTTGTTCAGGTCACGAAGAGCCAGGGTCTTCTGGGACCCCAGGGTCCTGACGAAGATCGCTAGGAAGATGTGGTTGCTGATCAGGTTGCCAAACTGGACCAGACCCTTCTCTAGGTCGTTGCGCTTGGTGCCTGAGATCTGTGCAGACCCGGACGTGGGAATGTATTTGTGAAAATTCAAGACATGATGAAAATATTTCTAAGATTTTTGCTTTATTAAAAGGAAAGCTGAGACGGACCTCTTTAACAACCTCCGCATCGACAATTTTGAGCCTTCTCTATATATGTTTCCATTCCAAACACATTGTTTGATGCCCAAGGTATGAGCAAATAGAAACACTAGAGTACATTATTAAGTTTTCTTAATTTATGACCGTTAGACATTCTGTTTGATGAGCAGACCAAAAGTGGGAATATTTTTGTGAAAATCACATATTTGGTGAAAATGTTTCTATAGCTTTTGTTTTTTTTTAGTTAAAAAAAAACTTAACTCACCATGAGCTTGTTAAATGGAAGTGTTTTCAATTGTTCTTGACTTACATTTTCTCGTACGATTGGGATCTCTCCCAAGACAGGATGGGACGGATTCTCTGGGAAGAGAAGCCTTGCCGCGTAGTCGCGGTAGTCTCTGAAGGGTATCCCGGAGCCTTCCACATCACTGCTCACTGTCAAGACTGTGATCTGTTGCTCGGCAAAGGCTGCAATGGAAAAATGGAGAATGTATAGTCATGACTTAGCTGTGGAGTAAGGGTGATATCAAGATGGAGGAAGGGATGTGCGGATCAGGCAGTATATGAGTGACACTGGAAGAGACAACATTGATATGTACAGCACCCATGGCTTGTGGGCTGACTAAATCATTCTACCCAATCCTATTATGGTATTAATACCCTAATAGATTAGTCAGTTATCAATGTTTGAGCGTAAGCAATTTGCTAAATGTCATACTTCAGTAAAGACGGATAGGGGCCTACGGATACATTCAACAGAAGACTTTTTCATAGAGGAGTGCAGCCATCTCTTTATAACACCTCACGTTTTCTCGATTTAATTTCAAACTTGGGTTCTGCCAATGATGTGTCTTAAACCCTTTGAGTACAGAATAAATCGTTTTACTTAGATATGATTAAGACGATGAGCTATGATGCTTAATACAACACGTTTGAGTCAAAATTAAGCAGAAATATTGGCTTGTCTTACACTTCAATTTTAAATGGGTACGGTCCCATTTAACAGTCAAAATGCGTACAATTGGTTCGAGTTAAGGAAAGTGTCTGACAATGTGCTTAGACACTGTTCTGACTCAAGAATGGCTCCTAATTGATCAATATGATTTGTCGCCTTCTACTAACCGTCTTTGTACTCCAGCATAGCCCTCATCTCCATCTCATCCCGTTGCGTCTCCATCTTCTTGAAGAGATGCTCGTTGGCGCTGATGCGGCGCCAGATGCAGATGATGAAGAGTAAGATTAGGAGAATGAGCGTGGCCCCGCAGGCGGTGCCGACAATGAGGGGCCAGGGTAGCCCCTCAGAGAGGTACTCCAGACGACCCACCTTGACAACCACGTTGCCGTGATGTACCTAGGGGGTGAGTGAGTAAATTGGCCGTTGGGACTCCTTCATAGATGTTCAGGACAGCTTATCCATTCCTATTCGTTGAGAGCCTGTTCGTTAAGGTCTTAACAATGCTGAAAAGAGGCCAGTAACTAGCACTGTAATTAATAAACCGGCCTCTGAATTAGAAAAAAAAATTGGCTTTTGTCTTTGTATTTCATTTTTTAAACAAACAGCTTTCACATGTAGTTTAAAAAGTTTGAAAGTCTTGTTGTTTGTGGAAATGTAATGTAAAGTTGTAAAGAAGTGTTTTCTTGAAAAGTGTAATATCCGCTGAGCTAAAACTTCAACCAGGTTAGATTTTGAACATTCTTCTTTTGATTTTGAGTGGCGTTACTATTGGAAATGAACACAAGGTATGAAAAGCAACTGATCCTATATGTCTTGAAACAAAACAGTCCTTTCGACACTCACTACAACGTCGTAGGTCTGCCCAGCTTCGTGTTCAGGAGCTTCACATGATAGGCTGTCAGCTTTTTCAGGTTGCATCATTAGACTCCGACAGGACAAATTGCCAACTTTGACTATCACATCACCCTCCCTGTACGTTGCATTGATGTAACGACCCTAAATGATGTGGAAAAAATTGCATTTTAAAAGACTGTATGCGAATAGAATATGATACAAATGTGACATTTCTGTTTGTGAGCTACACCGTTTATGCTCTCTCAGAGATAATAAAAGATATCATAAAAGAAACATCAATGGATGGAAAGGACCAAATTTTTATGGAGTTTCTAATTAGCAAATAACGCTTAGCGAATGAACATGCTAAGCAAAAACTATCAGAGAACCAGTCACAGCTAATATAATTTTTGTGATACTTTGGCCGTTAATCATTTTGGAATGCTAATAATTTCTGTATTTTTATTCTAGTTGATTAGATCTTTGGAATCATCTTCACTTGAGTATTCTTGTTATTTTAATGAAAATTGACACCATCTAACCTTGATTTCTAGTATCCTGCGCTCCATATACGCCACTGTCTCAGTCTTGTCAAACATGAAGTATTCTGGGTCGACAAATACTTGGAAATCTTTGGAGGATGGAATGGTGACTGCATCCATGACAAAGAAGATGTTGCTTCTCTGCAGGAAGAAGGACGGTGGTGAGGTGCTGTCGTCGAAGGTGAAGGCATTGGCGAGTTCTGGAGATTTGAGATTGGGCGACTTGCAGGTCATGGAAGCGGGATGATTGATGATACACTTCTAAACACAGATTCAAAGAAAAGTTAATCCTTAACTAAATTAGTCCTGAATCCTCCAATTTCAATACTATATTTCACACACCCTAGGGAGTAAAACCTCTAAAATGGTTGTTGCAACGTATTTGCTTATTTCTACTGAGTCGGGTTAAGCTTTCTGTAGGTCCCAGAGAGCACCAGCTTATATTCCTCTTTGTATACCTGACTGACTGACTGTCTGACTGACCGACAGTCACTTGCGAATTAGACTGGTTACCTGTCTCAATGATTGACAGTCACTTGTGAATTAGACTGGTTACCTATCTCAATGACCGACAGTCACTTGTGAATTAGACTGGTTACCTATCTCAATGACCGACAGTCACTTGTGAATTAGACTGGTTACCTATCTCAATGACCGACAGTCACTTGTGAATTAGACTGGTTACCTATCTCCATGACCGACATTCACTTGTGAATTAGACTGGCTACCTATCTCATTGATTGAAAGTCACTTGTGAATTAGACTGGTTACCTATCTCCATGACCGACAGTTACTTGTGAATTAGACTGGTTACCTATCTCACTGATCGACAGTCACTTGATACATATTTCACTGAGTGACTGTCTCTTGAGACTTACACTCATATGGGATGCATTGCAAGGCTTGCCTATTCCTGTATAGGATCTACACCACATGAGCATTAGTTTGACGTCGCTTGTTTCATGTACTGTCATATACAGCGCGTCCCAAAATACCTGCAACATTTTTTTTGCGAGGCTCTAGCGTCGCCGCGGAAACACGTACCGCCATTATGTTATATCATTTTAAAGCTTGCGATCTTAACTTTATCCCTGGTAAGTATTGGTTTGATTTTTAAAGGTCTTTGAAATTATTCATGTTCAAATAAAGGCATATCAAAAACAAACTCATTCCATTTCAAGGAAAATCAATCATGCGCATTTTTTCTAATGTGGAAATGCTTCATCATGTTCATGATGTGACGATCTTGTTGCCTTTTACTTTCTGTGTTTCCTTTTCTGTTCGACTACACCTTTAATAAATTCAATATATTGATCTTCGTTTCAAGTTCAATGTGTTTTAAATTTTAAAAAAATCAACTGTTTTGTTTTTTTAACAGCTTGTTGATTCTAGTTTCATCTGATGTACTGCATGGTCGATTTCCGTGAAATCGGTTGAGTGTGTTTTCTTTTATTTAAAAACAAATATTTTTAAAACTCTCATAAAATATCAAACCAATACTCGCCAGGGATAAAGTTAAATTCCAAGCTTTATAATTGTATGAAAAATGGCAATATGCGTGTTTCCGCGCCGACGCTGGAGCCTTGCAAAAGAAAATTGCGGGTAATTTGGGACGCGCTGTACATGTGTAGGCAATAGACAAATTTTCATGCAAATGAAAGGTAGATTTGTTTGATTTCCATCACGTTACCACTACAGCTTTTTCTACAAACTTTTAAGTCATTCTGAAACAACTGGATATAATTTTGTGCACTCATTAATCAGCTTCACTAGGCTTACCAAGTCTTGTTTTAAGAAGAAGCTGAATACTCATTAAACATTTTGCATGTAGTTTGGCTGATTGAGATCATATCCTGATGCAGTCATATGGATGCCTTTAGAGGTTGAAGATGACACGGTGATTGACACAAGCTGAACTTTGATACTTGTGTAGCTTTGTCGTCACTTTATTATGAGTGTGAGCATATCAAGTTGACAGTGTTTACCGTGGTGATTGTGGAAACAAGCTGCTGGTCTGCCTGTCTCTTAGGCCGAATGAATTGCCGGGTTCTCTCGATACGAAACCTCATTTTGGGCTCTTGCACCACGTCCAAATATATTCCTGTTATTGGTAGGTCCAATCCACCACTGTACATAAGAAATGCTACATTTTAAGATAATGAATGTAGATTTCTTACACAAGTCACTTTAATTGTTATTAGCTACAATGGTCACAACTGAAATGTCAACGATAGTCGATTACGTGATTGGACACCACGGACAGAGTAGTGAACTGAAGGCACCCCAAAAAACTTCGCTTTGTAAACGTTCTGTTTTTGACACACACAAAAATATGCTCAGTATGATTTAAATGTTAAATTATAATAAAAAGAACAAATCCTAAAATTCAGTAAAAGAATCGCCGTTATTGATACACCAAAACTGGTCACTGGTAAAGCTGGCCTAAAAGGTGTGGAAAAATACTGTCTCCAGATCTATTTACTTATCTCAGTTTCTAGGAATCCTTAAAGTTTCTATTTCACGAGTAGTTGAACACTAATATCATCTAAGGGTATTCCGAAATTCAGCTTCATCTGTTGTAGCAAACGTTTGTGTTACACTTTCTACTACCACCTAGGTAAATGTCCATACGCGTCATCAGGTGCTTTGCTTTGACAAGAAAACAAGGCATTTGGTTAAAGGGCAGTCGCGAGTTAACCTTATTTATTAATTCATTTTTTTTAGAAGGCTATTGGGATGGGGTGCGACCAATGTCAATTGGTTGCAGGACCGTATCGTTGGTTGGATTAAACAACCAACAATTGGTTTGACATTAACCAAAAAAATATATTATTTCACCAACCAATCAGAATAGGTTAAAAGTAGGATGAAAACCAAATCTTTGGTTGAGATGTTACCAATTCAAATTGGTAAGGCTTGATCAACAAAAGAAGGGTAGTTATCAACCATGAATTGGTTGAAATCATACCAATAAAATGCTAACCAAAGGCCTGTTGGTCATTTTGACCAAAAAGTCGGTTGGACACATATTGCCCAAAACCTTCTGGTTAAAAACCTTCTGGGTATCATAACCAATTTGTTTTTAGAGTGAAGATGAATCGAAAAAAATCAGTCTTTGGCAATCTGACCCATAAGGCATGATATACTCAAGTTTATGCGCGTGCATAAGGTATCCAGCATATTACTTGGGTCCGAATGCCAATGTTCCCAATACTGAATTCGATTCGCCTTGTTTGCAGTAGCGTAACCAGGGGGTGAGTGTAGAGAGTGGCAGATATTGCAACGGGATGAAGATTTGTAAAGTAAAATCGGATATAAGCAAATCAGGATGGTAAGAATGGGTAACGGGATGAAAAGTTTGTTTTGCAACTCAATATTTTCTATTGATTGCCCTTTTGCACAAGTGTCATTTTTTTCATGAGAGCCCTTTTATCACTAGTGTTCTTGTTTACGTCCCGCGAATGTCCTGCCATGTGGTTGTTGTTGTTGTTGTTGCATTAGGGGAATACAATCTAAATCCAAGACTATGTCGCAGCATCACTGTGACGACCTGAATTTCCACTGAGACTCCCAAAAAATGCAGATATGTTCCTGGCGTTTCTTCCCACGCACTGCTTCACTATGGAACTTCTCAGCTGTATCTTGCTTTCCAGTTGATTATAATCTGTCCCACTTTAAGCATAAAGTCGATATCTTTCTACTTGGAAGTATTCTTTTTCATAGATTTCCTTTACTATCCCTCCTTTGTGTAGCCCTCACCTTGAGTGCACGGCCCTTATATAGGGCCTTATGATGGGCAATTCTTATAAATTGAAGTGTGAGTATACCTGAGAATGGTCTGCTCACGTTCCTGCATCGTGATAACTGGATTCTCTGTATAGGAGAAGTTGCTGGAACTCACGGCCGTCCCAACAAGGTCAAAGATCATTACGATTGGTCCCTGGATGAGGCCTGTGCTTGCAGATGTGACGCAGCTACTGACATCGGCCGACAAACTACATAAAGACACGTACACATAGTCAGGCAAGTGTACAAACTCAAATCTTGAACATTACCGTAAAAAAAACTCTCGATCCAAAAAGAGGCGGTTGTCTGAGTAAACGGTCTATTATGGATGCAAACACGATGCAAAGACAGTGAATTCCAATCAGGGCGGAATTTCAGAAAGCTTATAAATAATAGCAAGCTAAACTACAGCTGCCTGAAAGTTTATGATCCTTAGACCGTAATTTTGTATATTAAGAAGGTTTTGTTTTTGTATGATTTTAATAAGAGGTACATCAGTTCAAAAGAATGCATAACCCAAAGCTTAAACAGGCAATTTCTCTGTTTTGTGACATCAGGAAATTCGAATGGGCATAATATTCGCCAGGGAAATTCCATTTTCAATAATTAAACTGTGATTGTAACGGGGAAGATCTAAAAACTAAAAACCTATTTTTGGAGGAGCTGCCCGGAGGAGTCTGTTTTTGACTGAACATATCACAGGTGTGATTGTTACGCCCCAACTATTGCATCGGTCCCAACCATAGTTGGGACTGTCCCAACTATAGTGCGGCAGTTGGGTCGGCCCAACTATAGTTGGGACTGGAGTTGTGCCCGATGCTTCATGCTTGATAGATCTTGTTGGATTAAATGTTCCGCGGCGCTGGCACCGCGTATTCGTCGTGCATGCATGCCGCAAGGCTGGCCGGTCACGTATTACTGCCTAGTTGGACGAGTTGTCCAGCTGCTGGGTTTTATTGTCCAGCAACATTTTGCAAAATTTAAAGATTGCCATGGCCGGTCAACTACAGATGGTCCCCACCCATAGATAATTTCATTGGTCCCAAGTAAAGTCAGATGTGTATTAGAGTTGTAGGGAATGTTTATAATCGTACAACAATGTACACTATAGTTGGGACCGCAAAATAAAAAGATTGGGGTGGCCCAACTATAGATTCGCCCCGTCAATAGCTAATTTCAGTGGTCTCCAGTAAAGTCAGACGTGTATCAGAGCGGTAGGGAACGTTTTATAGTTGTACATCAATGTAAACTATAGTTGGGACACCGCAAAATTAAAAGATCGGAGTGGCCCAACTATAGATGGGCCAGCCCAACAGTGGAACTTACAGTTGGGACCGTCCCAACTATAGTTTGGACAGGCCCAACTATAGTTGGGACCGATGCGATAGTTGGGGCGTAACATGATCACTCATCTCCATTAAAGGGAATATACATCATTTGCTTTTGCTGTAATTTTCAGAAATGGATGGAATTGGTATGTTGGAAATATATAGCAAATATAGTTACACTGACTTTTTTGAGGTTTTGGGTTCGAAAATGCTATAAAAATCAAGAAAAACAATCATTTTCCTGTAGTCTGGTTCCCTGACTCCATTTAAGAAGAAACAGAGCAGTTTACATACATTGGAGAATTGTAAGGTCAGGGAACCAATCTAGCTGGCTTGTACCCGTTCATAGGTGCAAACAAGTGCGAAGGTCAACTGGGGCCAGTATTTGAAAAAAGCCAGTTTTTTTCCAACGCTGATCGGCCGATCAGCGTTGGAAATTGGTACAAAAATACCACTTTTCTTGAAAATGACAGTATACCAGGTGCCATGATTTTACAGGATGCTTTACACTGTCATTCACTAACAGTCCAGCAAGGTATTTCAAAATGATTTGGTAGTTTTATTTTTTGATGTTTGCAAATGTTGTATTTTCCCTTTAATGACGAAAACCATGATATACGACTCACTTTGTTGGTTCAGTGATGTTGCACGGTATGCCGGCCACAGTGATACTCCTGCTGCGTCCTGCATTAAGACCTTTTCCTGTTAATGTGACCTTTGACCCACCAGCCATTGGTCCTAGAAGTGGATGGACACCAGTGATGATGGGTACCTTTGAGATAAAAATATTAACTCCAATAACTTTTTTTCACAGGATATATGACTCGTTGCGTAAGAATTAAAGGAAGCATTTAACAGTTTTACACACATAATGTGCAATAGTAGTGTTTACATTTTATATTTACATTTACTTTACTTCTCAGGACAGACAGTAAAACCAAGACCGAAAAAAATGAACAGAAAACGATAAGAACCAAACAGCTCCCGAAGGATCGCCTAAAAAAGACAAAGTCTCTGTCGAGGGGCTTTCCTGACTGAAATATTCACAAATAAGAAATGAATTGAATTGATGGTTCCTGATGATGTATTGTTCCTGAAAATTGAAAATAAATTTAGTTTTTAAATTGCTAAGTTTGTACCAATACAAAACTTCTCCCTCTTTTTAATAAGACATCAACAGAAAAATATGGCGCTCGTCAGGAAAAACCAATCCAAATACTTACAATCCAAAAATAATTCCCACTTCCTTTTTTAATAAAAAAAAATGTCGCCAGTCTTATTGCAATGCGACCACAAATAATCATACAATACTGGTCGGCTTTGCACAAACTATACCAAGACTAGTGTAATATTGTTATAGCGAGGGCAATGTATTGTTGTATCCCCCGAATAAATAGCCATCTAATTAATATTATAATTGTTGTTTATTTCAGGCTGATGTGATTGTAAAGAAATTTATATCATTACGCTGTCTTGTTACAATCACCGACTGCTTTTCTCAGTACTTTCACATTAACGTTAACTTAAAGGGAATGTACAACATGTGCTTTTGCTGCAATTTTCAGAAATAAATGGATTTGGAGGATTAGTATGTTATAGCAAATATTGTTAAAATGACTTGTTTCACGTTTTTGGCTAGTTGATGCTGGAAAAACCAAGAAAACCAATCAATTTCTTGTAGTCTGGTTCCCCGACCCCACTTAAGATGAAACGGAGAAACGTAAAGACTTTGGGGAATTGTAAGGTCAAAGAATCAATCCAGCAGGTTTTTACCCATTCACAGGTGTGTAATCTATTGCAAAGAAAATGCGGAATAACTAAATATGAAGAAATAGGAGCAGTTTTTGGAAAAAAGCCAGTTTTTTGTCCAACGGTGGTCGGCCGACCAGCGTTGGAAAAATACAGTTTTTCTTTAAAATGTCAGCACACCAGGAGCCACGATTTTACAGGATGCTTTAGACTGTCAATCCCTAACAATTCAGTAAGGTATTGCGTGATAGTTTGATCATTTCGTTTTTTGATGTTTGCAAATGTTGTATATTCCCTTTAAAACTTCAACAATTCAATTCAATTCGATATTTCATTTCATCACCATAAAAAACTTTAACAGTGAAATTCATCTTCCCAATGCCCACATAAAAAAACAGTGTACATATATTTAAAGAGCACATCTTTAACTATTCGGTCAAACACAGGAAAATAAACTTGCCACGAAGGAAAAATGCTTTTCCATCGTCGTCACTTCATATTTCTCAATGGGTTCATCCCTGCCTATCATTACCACCACGGGATCACTTGCTGCCCCAGCAGTGCTAGCATCAGTCATGCAGACAATCCTGTATAAAGAATAAAGCAATAATGATTACGATTCATGATGACTTTTGACATTGCTTATTTTTCTGAAAGGTGCTTGACAGTGGCATAACTGCAAAAGTGGACCCTATCAGTAGGTGGTGCCTGATCGACACCACATTGCGTCAGACTTCACATCAATACCCAACACAAACATATAATCACACATAATGAGACGCATAGGGAAACTGTATTCTACATGTATTTTGGAATATACATTGTATGTATGGAAATGACGAGCTGCTTTTGATATCAACATTTCTGCACTCCAAACTTTCCTGCTCATTAACCCTACTTCCTGATTCCCGTTGGAACCAAAATTTAGAAGCCCAAAGGCAATTGTTTTTAGCAAAAGATAATGGTGGATGGCAGGAGCCCATTTAATGGGCGGCGCGAAGGGGGGGGAGGACAAGGTGGGCCCTACCCCCCCCCCCCCCCCCCCCCCCCGCAAAAGAAGAAGACAAAAAGCCATATTGCCGTTAATTTAATGCACATTTACAAACATGTGCGTCCGCAGGGGTGTTAATGGTGGTGCAGTGGGCAAATCCCCCCCCCCCCCCCGCCCATCCTAAAAAAAACCTGATAAATGGAGAATATGTAAGGAGTTTGGGGAATAATGTGCTTTGCCGATCTCTAACAAAATCCTTGCGACGCCCATGGCCCATTCGTTCTTCAAGCATGCAATTCCTCAAAAAAACATTGTTTTTGAAAAATTCTGGGAGGTTTTTGCCAGCAAATTAACTACTAAGATTTGAAGGTTTGCATGATGAGATCATCGATATATAAGTTAAGGGTAGAACCATATGACGACAAAAATTGTTTGTAAGTTATAAGTGATTCCTTAACCACGATGTTTTGAATTGACTATTAATCCTCCACTTTTGAAAAAAAGTGACTGGTTCTTAAATACATGCACTTGTCTTCAAAGACAGAGTGTGCTCTTAAACGATTTAAGTTTTTCCTCCTGACAAAATTGTTCAACTTGCAATGTTTTATTGTAACTGAATATTTGGGCAGCTGCGACCCTCTGAAAAAAGGCTTTTATTTTTTATTCCTTTTTGCAGATAAACAAAATGAGTCTTTCAAATAGACTGGTTCCTGGTCTCTTCATAATCCATTCTGATAGGGAGGCGGGTACCAGTCTGCCATGCGAGAAATGAATTAATGTCGGGCCGCAAATAAATTGAAACTTTAACCAAAGTTTTAAACACTATGTTTAAGACTGGTTGGAGTCTACATGCTGATAATTACCCTTGCCTTCGGCTCGGGTCAGCATCCAGACTCAAACCGGTCTTAAAGGTACAGTCCATCATTTGTAATTTGTGCATTATGTTCATTTGAAGCAACAAAAGTGCTGAAAATCTAAAGAAGGGTGCTTTACAACTAACCTGATGAAGTTTTAGCTCTACGAATGGTGTATATTCCGAGAAAACAATATTCTAGGATTTTGATTTCAAATCAAAAGTTGCTGAGTCATGTTTTGATTTAGGCATGAATTCAGCGTCCAAAACACGTTCTCGCTGAGCCGATTGCAGCTACACGATGTCGCGCACTGAACTGACGAATAATAGCAGCCGCGCGCGTACACGTGCGACGTTTCAACGGTTGCGCACGGTTCGCCGAATTAAAAACAAGCTAATAACGGAAATTTCCATGGAAAGGCCTTCTTTCATTGTTTTCTTCAAAATGACAGCTTGCCAGAAAGAATTATTTCACAGGGAGTTTAGTCCCATTATTATCTTTAAACTAAGTATGCTCTTCAACAATAATTACGTCAGTTACCTATAGCTGCAAATGATGGACTGTAGCTTTAAACATAGTGTTTAATACCGGCCAGGCACATTATTTGTTCCCATTCATGAAACTGTTTGTCCAAAAGCCAAAAAAAAAAAGTCCAAAATTATAAATTTCCAACGATTTTGTTCAACAAGTTTACTTCTTGATGATTTTCGGTACCCCTCTAGCTATGGTATGTCCCTCTTGCGAGTGAGTCGAAAACAATTCCTTATATGGAGATTGGTGCGCACGTCGCACGTACTACTGCGAGATGTGGCGCAGAACGCAGAACTACGAAATACTTACTTCCTAGTCTGGTCCCCAGACCTGACGATTATTCCCGACGCTCACGTATAAACTGTATGTAAGACAGCAGCCGCGGCTAAAAATAAACATGACGACACTGATGACCCTTTTTCAAAGCTCGGCTTCGTTTTCGAATTAGCTTTATCACTTATAGCTTTTAATGTTCCGATCAATCTTTTAAATAAATCACTTGCTTAATATACCATACATTTACATAGGTGTAGCCAGCGACCGGGGGTGGGTGTAAGGGGGTATTTAACCCCCCCCCCCCCGCAATATTTTGTAAAGAGTGCTCTTTTCAACCACAAATAAAATGGCCGACTTTGGAATATGTAATATGCCGTGGATCGGAGCTGTTAAAGGTTTCCGTTAAAGGAATGACTCCATCGATTCCGTGCTCTTTTCCATTCAAATACCCTTTTTCACCCTCGCTTACCCCCCTTACCCCCCCCCCCCCCAAAAAAAAATATTTGCAAAGAGTGCCCTTTTTGTTAACAAGTGCCCTTAAAAAAACCACTTGCCCTTTTTTGTGGCGTCGGCGGTTCCGGGTGCCTTTTTTTAAATTGCATGCATGTATCGCTCTGAAAAGCACCATATACTTTACGTTATTGTGCATAATGGTCGGTTTTGAACAGCGCCCCCATCAACAGATGGTACGAGCCCGCCATCGACAAAAGATGGTGGGATCTAGAGTGGCATAGTTGCGTTCGGGAATCAATCTGTCCAGTTTCTCTGTCCAGTTTCTCTGTAGCAGCAAAGCAAATGTCCACTTTTGAACCACAATGACAAAACATTCAATCTGCTTTTCTAGGAGCAGAAAAGCAGATGTCCCTTTTTAAACCCCCAGTGCAGAGCAAACAGTAAAATCTGCTTATCTGGTAGCAGCAAAGCAGAAAAGGAGAAAAATACATTTTAGCAACACGTTCAATCTGCTTTTTTTGCTATTCTGTTAGCAGAAAAGCAGATGTCCACATTTGAACCTCCATATACGTGAGAATTGTGAACGATTAACCAATAAATGGTAAAAGGCACCGGATTTCGTTGGAGTCCAAATTTTATGTGACACTGGAAAAGTGTTTAAGACCAGCCAGCCGATTTTTATCAACCGTTTAAAACCGGCCACGTGACGGGCTCTCGACCAATAGGAATTGGTAAACAGTCTTATAGGTATTTATGAATAAGTGTTAATTCCACAACTCAGGTTTGGCCGACTAATGTCTCATTAAATACTGAATAGCATTAAAATAATTATTCTGTGTTTGGGATGAAACTTGAAAATGGCACGGACAATACACGTTAACCATCTACCGGTACCTTTCTGCACGTTTGTACTCTATCGTCTGACATGGCATTCCAGCCACCGTGACTTGTTTGATGTCGCTGGCGGCCTGTCCCAGGTTATATCCTTCGATGATCACTCTGGTACCTCCAGCAACATGACCACTCGTGGGGCTGAACTACAGAATTAAAAAAGAAAGAATTGTAAACAGAAACGGATATATATACATAACTTAATCTTGAGGTACATTTGGATTCGTTTGCTTTTATTTCAAAATTTAAGGATGACGTGTGATATCGACTGCTTTACCATGTGGTACAGTCAAATCAGCCCCCATCAGTGATTTGTGGCGCGTTCTTGGAAAAAAAATCTGGAGAAAACGCAAAGCTTACTGGCCTAGTTTCAGATGTAGTTTTTTTAACCAGGGGTTATTTTGGGGGTGCTGAATCTGTGAATGATGGGATACCAAGCTGAATTCTGAGATAAAAGGGGCATTACCGCGAAATAACAAAATATGAATAAAATCATTACTTTTTAAATGTAAGCTTTCAAATTCTTTATGTTACTCATTTCAAGATGCTGATCTTGTATACTCCTAAATCTTCCTAAAATGGCTCGTGCCATATTTTCAATGGGGAGCGCTGATAAAATTCTACAAGCAGGCACACTATATTAACTAAAAGTGTACAAGTGCACCCTTCTCATTTCCCAAATTCTTACATTTTGCTAGTGCATTTTTTTTTATGGAATTTTTTTTGGGGGGGACTAGACACAATTTTTTTGAAAGGAAATGTACTTAAGTTATAAAGGAAATGTTTTGTGCCATTACTCAAAAGACTCAGTGTAATTCAGCTGCTTGGAAAATACACACAGACTCATTGACAAATTACACACATTAAAAAAATCTTCAGTTAAGGCACATGGGTACTTGAGCACCTAGGAATGAACTCAATACAGATTTTATCTAACCGTACAAAACTAAAGCCTTTACTCTCAAAAGCAGTTGATTTTAGAAAACTGCTTTCCCCATACAATGTGCCTTTTATTTCATCATTATCTTAATAGCACTAACCATCATCTTCATCTGCCCTGAATTCCGTAACTTTTGTTTGTTACTGCCTTTTACAAATCCCTTTGCTGGTTCAAGTAATACACAAGATAATCTGACAGTGCACTTAAAAATGTACATGTAGGAGCATAATACCAGAAAAAAATTACAACAGTATAAAATCAACAAACTCTAGGCCTGGTCTAGAAGTTTTCTCAGTTATTTTCAGAACCTTTTCAGAATTTTTTGAAAATGTACAGTTTAAAAACTATTGGCTTTATTTATTTTTGTATTGGTGGTAATGCGGTTTAAGTTTAAAATTTAATAGCTAAATATCAATCACTTTTTTACTGATTTAACACCCACAAATTAGGTAAAATAGCTATGATAATAAATTCTGTCTAAAAATGAAGCACTTGCTCATAAAATCAGTATATTTTTGAAAATTTGCATATTTTTAAACAAAATGCCTCCTTAATCTTAAAAAACCCGGCTTATAAACCATCATCTTCTTTTGCACTAAATTCAGTAGCGTTGATTTGTCACTGTCTTTTACTTCTGTTTCACAGAGTAATGCTTCAAAAAGTCATTTGACAGTGTTTGACAGTGCATTTAAAAATGTAGAAGTACACCAACACAATTGATTAGATTGATTTATTTAGCTGTTTTTAAGCTACTTGAAATGAGCTAAATGAAGAGTTTAAAAATCTACAGTTACAAAAGTAATCCTTTTTATTCGTTTGTTTTTATTTCGCGGTAAAGCCACTTTAATCTCAGAATTCAGCTTAGTATCCATCATGTTCAGATTCAGCACCCCCACATTAGGTTAAATAGCTACGTTAACCAACTTCTACTCAAAATGTATCGCCTGCACTACAATAAAGACTTTGCGGATTGCGATCACACGAATAATGAGTAACCATGCTCCTAGCCGACATCCTGACATGCTTCACAAGGATTTCTCATGAACAGAAACAATAACCCTTTTTTTACGACCTTGCTGTTATTCCCACAAATCACGTGTTGGGGTCATGGAAAGTGAGTGGAAGTGCGCGCAAGATGTTTCCCCTCGCTTATACGCTCGTCTGGTGTTTTGTTCACAACTGGTTTTAGGAGTGAAAAGCTTGAATAACCATAATTTCTCACTTCGTATGCATGTGGAGATTTTCAGTTTATATTTATAGCTGTCAAATCATAGCGACTTGCCAGTTACTCAAACAACGGACTCCATTGGTTTTTGGCGGGAAACGAAAAAGTTATTGGAACTTAACTCTTTGAAAGATCTTTCTGAAAGTTTACCCACTTTTAATACTCATATTTTCGTTAGCTGCATACTATTCCCAATCGCTTTGAAAATTCCTACAATGATAGGAAATCTGATTTGTATAGACAAATACAATGTTACGCAAAACTACCATTTTCGTGACAAAAACAATCGCTTTAGTGACAGGCAGCAATAGGCCACATGGGCAAGAATACCTTTGTATTCCACAAATAAAATGGCCGACTTTGGAATATGTAATATGACGTGGATCGGAGCTGTTAAAGGTTTTCGTTAAAGCAATGACTCCAACGATTCCGGCGTGGAATCGCCCAAGCCTATGTAGCATTTTTCAGCACAAATCTCTGATTCTTTTACAAGCTATTGGCTTTCAAAAACTCCATAAATACCTACCGAGGTGATGTGTGGATCAGGGCACAAGTCCTGTCCACTCAGCCAACCCTGCCTGTCTGTGCACGCCGTCGTTATGCTACACATCTGAGACGGTTTACACCAACCGCAAGAGAATTTGGCATCGGCCAGGAGACATTTGCCGCAATTGGTCCGTTTGACCCCACACTTATACAAAGTCACTGTGTAAAGTTATTCAACAACATGTTATTACAAGTATGAAAGTAAAAATTGTCAAAGTTTGTGTCATTTTGGGTTGTTTTCATGCAAGTATTTTTCTTTGATTGCTCCCCCATTCTGTGCCAGAAAAGTGGTTACTGCTTTCATCCAGAGGTTCAGTTAATTTTAAGTCAGAATTCTGGATGAAGGCAACTTATTCATCTATTCTACATTCATTTAAGCATTTTGAAGATGCATTTCCAGCCCAATGTAAAGCAACAGTATTAATATGAAGCAGGGCCTCGCAAAAACAGACCATACAGGCCTATGCAGCTCTTGACAATCACCATTTTATGTGGTTATCAGCAATGTGCATCTCACATGCATCTCACAATGGTGACAGGCTAATGACATGCTAATATTTTCAGATTTTAAGTTCGTAACTTGGGTTTCATTTGGATGTACTTAACCCGCTCAGCCAAAGAGAAGCTTGTTCAAGCCCTCATTTCTTCTCATTTGGATCTTTGTGACTCTTTGTTACCCCGTAACCAACTAGCTTGCTCAAGACTAAACAAATCCGCTGCTCGTATTGTGACCCTGATACCCTCTAGAGCCCATATCGTCCCCAATTTTGCAGTCTCTGGGCTGGCTCCCTGTTGCTGACCGGATCAAATACAAGCTTGTTTTTCATTGTCTGCGTGCTTAAGCTCCTGAATACAACGTAGGGTTATTAACTCCATACAATCCGTCCAGGGGTTTGAGATCTTGTGATGCTTCTTTGCTTCAGGCGCGGTTCTACGGGGTGGCTGGGGGGGGGGGGGGCTGTAGCCCCTCCCCCAAAAAAATTGTCTAGCCCCCCCAAAATAAATTCCGTAAAAAAAAATTGCATTAGCAAAAAGAAAGAATTGTGATGTACATGCGAACGGTCTCCCCCTTAAGAAGAAATAGCCGTGACAAGGGTGCATTAGTTAATATAGTGTGAATGATTTTAGGATTTTATTGGTGCTCCCCATTGAAAATATGGCATGAGCCCGAGCCCCCCCCCCCCCCCCCCCCACCTCGCCATCTATTGATTTTCGGAGGCCGAAGTGTCTGGAAAAAATAACCGGTCAACATTTCAGCACACCTCCCTGAAAAAAAATCTGGATCCACCGTGCTAGCCCCCCAAAAATATTGGTTCTAGAACTGCGCCTGCTTTGCTTGTTGTCCCTCATACTTGCACATCCTGGGGAGATCGATCCTTTTCTCACGAGGGTCCTTATCTTTGGAACAAATTGCTTCTCGATATTCGTTATCTGTCATCTGTCTCTCAATTTAAAGTTGCCCTGAACTCTTATTTTACTCGTTCCAGAACGCTCACAATATTTTTGTTTAGTTATTCATGAATTTAATTTGTTTTTTGATTTTCTGATTTTTTTACACTTGGGTCATTCCATGTCAGACCAACGCACTTTTTTACCTCATGTCTTCCGATTTTAATAAAAATTGCTGTGCTTGTAGGTCCTAATGAGCAATGAATACACACCAATTTTTAGCCCGATCCGACCTACCATGTGGTCAGGGCAGAAGCCACAAAAAAATGGCATTTTTAGAGTAAAATACCACCCTTTTGGTATAAATATGTCAAAACTATGGCAATTTTCATCCAATATATGTGAATTTGGTTTTAAAATAATGAGGATTGCATGCTCAAATCACTTCTTTTGTCAAAATTAAATTTTGTGAAAAGTAGGTCACGTGACCTTTAATATGCTATCGTGACCTTGTCCCAATTTTTGTAATAATGTATCATTCCGAAAATCAACGAAATAAAAATAACTTGCTAGAGCATGTCTTCCTCTATCAGAATCTACTAAAAATCAGTTGGGGTCTTCAAAATTTACAACTTTATGACTACTTTTGTACAGTTAGTAGGTTACAAATGAGTCAATTTATAGACTTTACATAAGAAATTCACCAACACAACTTACTATTCTGTTTCTAAAGTTACTAAAATTAATCTAGATTTTTATGTATAAAGTACAAAGCCAGGAAAAACAAAATTCCACCTTCTGATTCCAAAGAAACTGTCTAATCAGAATATCTGGACTCGGAGTGTGCTAACCACTAACAGTAACCAGGCCTTCACCCAGTACAGCGGACTCACGTCCAGGTGAAATTCACCTCAAAGGAACAAAATGCCAAGTCTGTGAGAGTCATTAAAGTTCAAGAAGCACAGTGATGAATGAGTAAAGGTAACTTTGATTGTAATATTAAGTATTATCTTCAAGCAAACTTGAATCCTAGACCCTGATTAGTCCATCTATAGCAACAACTGTGTGATTTTATATAATATTGCACAGCTATATTGCACCCCAGATATTAAAAATGTACGTGTACATATGTTGTGTTATTTCCTGCAGAACGGACCAAAACACTACATGTATGCACGTACATCTTCACTGCGTGTACACATTTGATATCAAGTTTGCTTGAAGATAAATTGGTTATAAATCCCACTTGCGCTCGTGGAACACGGAATTATGTAGTGCATCGAGTGGCATATGGGTCACAGCAGCATTGCATTATTTCATATTCCAAGCGCGCTCGTGGGATAACTAATTATCAGTGGCACCCAGGAGGGGGGGGGGGGCCTTGAACCCACCCTCAATTTGTTTGTTTGATTTTATTCTAGTTTTTGTTGGTCCAATCTTTTACAGAAATTTGAACAAAAAACGATTTATGACCCCCCGCCCCCCCCCCCCCACCAAAAGCCAAATCCTGGGTGCGCCACTGCTGATAATTTACACTATGAGTCTGGTTAGACCTCATCAGCCCTCAGAATGAGAAATTCACAAACCAAGATATATTTTAGTAACTTTAGAAACAGAATAGTAAGTTGTGTTGGTGAATTTCTTATGTAAAGTATATAAATTGACTCATTTGTAACCTACCAACTGTACAAAAATAGTCATAAAGTTGTAAATTTGGAAGACCCCAACTGATTTTTAGTAGATTCTGATAGAGGAAGACATGCTCTAGCAAGTTATTTTTATTTCGTTGATTTTTGGAATGATACATTATTACAAAAAATGGGTCAAAGGTCACGATAGCATATTAAAGGTCATGTGACCTACTTTTTTCACAAAATTTAATTTTGACAAAAGAAGTGATTTGAGCATGCAATCCTCATTATTTTAAAACCAAATTCACATATATTGGATGAAAATTGCCATAGTTTTGACATATTTATACCAAAAGGGTGGTATTTTACTCTAAAAATGCCATTTTTTTGTGGCTTCTGCCCTGACCACATGGTAGGTCGGATCGGGCTAAAAATTGGTGTGTATTCATTGCTCATTAGGACCTACAAGCACAGCAATTTTTATTAAAATCGGAAGACATGAGGTAAAAAAGTGCGTTGGTCTGACATGGAATGACCCAATTGTAATGCGCCATGAGCGTCATTTTTGACAGATACTGGCGCGTTATAAATTGTTTTTATTATTATTATTATTATTATTATAACGCCTTGACGACATTGATGGCAGTTTTTCAAAACTCGACTTCGTTTCCGATTTCGCTTTATCGCTTGTAGCTTTTAATGTTCTAATCAATTTTTTTAATAAATCACTTGCTTCGTAAGATTATACAGTTATAATAATAGAGTTTGATGTTGCTGTAAGATAACATTGACTAATGTTGATCGGGAATCTTCAAAATTAGGCACCAAAATAGCACTGTTAGTAGGCGGAGCTGAATGAAGACCGAGTTTTGGAAAATCTTGGTAACGGTCGTCAAATTCAAAAGTGTACATGACGCAGCAAAAAGTTCGCCCATACGATCCGAGTATGTTTGATGCACAAAATCGTTGTTGAATTTCAAGTTTTCTAAATGAAAGCAATGAATATTAATTATCAACTCATTAAAAAAAAAATAAGCAATTAGCAGTTAATTAAAGCTATATTATACTCGGAAATACTCGGGCGCTATCCGAGTGTCCACGAAACGAATTCGGCAAACTTCGGAAATTTTCGGAAAAGGGAGGAATTCCTCCTGTTTTAGTCACGTGACGTAAATTGTAATACAATGTATTACCGGAGGCTACCGAACCTAAGATTCATCATGAAAAGTCAGAAACTGTTGGTATGGGAACCAGACTAACATTCTGTTCGGTTTTGGATGGATCTGGTATGGTGGGGGTTCACGGGTCTAAACACTAAACTTCTTGATTATTTTACCAGTTAACATGGTTGGGTTGTCCAGAACAAAACTGCTCCCGCGGATCTGTAAGTCAGCAATGAGGACTTTCTCATCCATGATGTAGTTGTACTGTTTGACAAGAAATGAACACCCTTTAAATTATTGGAACAACTAATATCCACTTTACATGTAAGTCTAAGAGATATTAACAACTTCCTTCTTCCATGTTCCGTGAAAACATGTTAATCAGGGAAAAGAGCCATTGCTCCGTGTTTTCATCCCCGTTAAAGCCTGTTTCCTCATTCACACGTACATGTACACAAAAGAACAGGTTCGGGGATGTTCAAGTAACCATCATTTAAACATTACTACTATGACTGGTCTCTTTAAAATGTTTTGTATAATTGTGTAACTTTAATTATGAAAAACATCATTATAGGTAAAGAATGCAACACATTGAAAGTTAACCTTTATATATATAAATATATATTCTATATTTTAACCACACCCAGCTGCTATAGCCTATTACATAGAACACCCCTGGTAATCCTTCCCTGATGTATTTTTCACAATATATAGTAATAAACTATTTGAATCTTAGCAAGATAGAATGATTACTAGAATAGCATATAATTAAAACTATTTCAGAAATACCGGCATCCTTTGTAAAGAATACCAGATCCTGAAAGGACTTGTTGTATGAGATTTTTATTCTCATCTAAGATATTAAACTCAATCCACCCTGAAGAGAATGCTGTATTATTCAGAGCTCATGTTTCTGCACTGAAAATATTGATATTCACATTATCTGTATACATGTGCCTCATTCCAAATGAATTACCTTCTTTGTTTTATATACATCATAGCAAAACATGTGCTCAATTTAATTCTGTATCGTACTTGCTGTAAATTAGTGTCGAATTTTGACAAAGATCAAAACGGAATGTACTAGTGCATTTTGCCGGATCAGTTTTGTGTCTGTTACCATCACCCTCTGTCTTTTTGATAATCACCAGATTCTTGATAAACCATTCTTAGGAATCTACTTGCTCACCTTCATATATGCGCAAAGAATTTGTGTGTCACTGAGTACGATGCCTGCAGTCGTTTTCTCCGTCGCCCATTCTTTGTGCCTTAGTACACACGTGTAACCAGACTATGGAAGAAATATAAGTTAATTAAAGACTTGCATTGAAGTGGCTGACAGTGTTAAACAATCCAACTACAGTAACCGAATACATCAAGATGGAGACAAACAAGCAGTAAATAACGTCTCGCCCGCCTGTCTCCAGCTCGACTGATTATTTACTGCGGACATGGTGGATGCTGCAAAGTATTGAACAATTCTTCTCGGAAAGAATATGATGATTTGTCAGGCTACAAATGAATCAAATTTTTAAAATGTTCACAATTCAATATAAAAAAATACAGTTTACCTATTCCTATTGGTCAAAAGCCCGTCACGTGGGGGGTTTTCTCTAAACGGTTAATAAAACGCCGACTAATTTCAAACACCGCTTTTTTCCCCAGCACTGCTGCGTTCTGCGCCACATTGCGCGGTATATAAGGAGATTTGTAGTACTACTCGCGCAAGGCACATACCATAAACATATAGAGGTGTTTCACGAAGCATGGAAGTAAAATTCTTGAACAAAATCGTTAAAAATTATAATGTTGTCTTTCTTTGACTTTCTGATCGAAAAGTATTTATGAATGGATTTTTCTGTGTGGTGTTTCATTTTGGACTGCTAGATGCATTAAATAGCAATTTAAAGGCAGAGTGGACAATTTGCAGCTATCAAGATAGTAATGACACTAACATCCCTGTGACATTAGTCCTTCTGATGGCATGCTGTCATTTTGAAGAAATCCGTCAGAAGTTCATTCACAAGTCCGGTTATAAGTGAACAATACACAATGGAATGCCTTTGTCAAAGCTCATTGGAATATTTTGTGAGTTGAAATAGGACCAGAGGACCTTTGATAGACAAGTGATGAACTCGGCTACAAAACTGAATCAAACGTCGTGTAATAGTTACTTTTCAGCGTTTGCCCTTACCATTACAGGGAGTCTGGCAACATTCACTGTCAAAAGTTGAAATTCTGGTTCCCCAGCTGGAATGAGAATTTCTGGAGTGTCTTCAATCCTTGGGCAGTAATCTTTTCCCTTCATGTCTGTGTCTATTTGCACCTGTAAATTGATAACATAAACTAATAATTAATTTTGTGTACCTTCCGATACAATCTCTGTCGTCTAATAGTTGCAACCACTTATATGGAGTCGTGGCATTTCAATTTTGACCACCTTTTTTTTTATCGGACTAAACCAAATTGTATAGCTGACTATCTTTCAGTTGTGTGCCAGTTTTGGCATGACCGATGAGAATGTGCATATCACATTTACAACTAGTAATATGTGATAATCAAAACACATTTGACATTTCAAAACTTCATTCATGAGCAATGGGATACTTTTTAGACGTTGGTGGCAGCCAACACACCGGCCCTTTTTCCATCGTTTGCGTTATTAGGACGTCCACTTTAGCTTGAGGTAAACAATGCTGCCACCAACGTCTCAAAAGTCTCCCATTGTCCTGAATCTCATAGGCCTATATCTCGGATATGATTGAAAACAAAACAGTAAAATGTTTATATCGTAGCACGGTAATGATTTCCCAATGCCCGTACTAGCCAACGTAATTATGTCTTGGAGATTGTAACTACCTAGGGGGTGTGCAAAATCGTATTGAAATCGGAGGATTCAGGACTGTTATAGGGCTATAAGTCTGGCATTCTTTGACAACATAATTGTCTTTAAACTCTCTGTATACTGTGAGTCTAAATAGTGATTCAAAATAGTACTTGCTAGAGATTGTCTTGAATGTCATAGGCATTGCTTTGATTCCATAGGCATTGCTTTGATTCCATTTAAAGGCTGTTAATAAATGTATTTAAAATGTTTAAAAAGGTTTTACCCAATGATTCCAATATTTATCTAATATTTTGGGAGTAAATCAAATACAATTTCAGTTGATTGTCAGGGGAATCACTAGGGTGGGTGGGTCTGTCGGCATATATGCAACCAAACTTTGGGTCACCTGTTGTCTGAAAGTTCGATTTTGCGGTGGCTGGGTGACAAAGTACCTAGCCAACTTCTAGCAAGGAGTAGTCAGTCAAATATTTTATCACACCATCCCCTCTTCAAATAGATTTGGCGCGCCTACATCATTTTTCTTTCCTTATAGTTATTTTTTCCAAATGAAAGTCATTTTCACCTGTTGTCCAACGATGACAGCTGAGGCAATGCAGCTGCTAGCGTTGCCCATGCACCTGTTCTCAAAGACACACCAGTTGCACAGGTAGTCGGCCACACATTGGGTGCAGCTATCAAAGGCACTGCAGTCGTAGAAGTCAAAGGTCGTGTTGACGATGAGTTTGTTGGTCTCAGTGGAATGGAGGGAGAGTGTCACCATCAGGACGCCTGGAAACAAAAACCAAGAAATAAAAATAAAACAATATTAACAGCAAAACATGAACACTATACCGCACATTTAATCGAGAGGCCAATTAAATGGTGCTGTCCAGTACATTAGCACATGTATTACATTGTATGACATTACATAAAATTGTATCACATTTAATGACATTGTATTACACTTGTATTACATTGTATTTATTTCCTGACAAATTTATAAGGTTTTTTTTTATAAACAGCAGCACTGACTTAGGATTGACTTGTTTCAAGTTATTTAAAATGTTGTTTATTTAGATGCCTTCCAGATAAACAAACGAAATTCAGGATTGGGCCATTTCAGGGAGAGGAGGGTGCAACAACAATCTGAGATGCAATCACATTAAAGATAAAATAGGCCTATGTTTGATTTTCAAACTGGGTAGTTATTAAAATCAGAGAACTGCATGCACAGGGCTAGGACTTTCTATCATTCGTTTGCTCAAACGGGGGGGGGGCGGCAGACCCGTCGGATTTTTGTTTATGTCCGATTGTTGCGGACAGGCGGACATAAAGTAATTATTATTACTGTATATTTGGGGGGGGGTGTCAGAGCGGGGGGGGGTGTCAGAGCGGGGGGGGGGGTCCATTGCCCAAATGGAGCGTCTCCGAGTGAATATCAAGATGTATATGGTGATACCTAGGATAGCAAGAACCGTCTTTCATCACCGACACACATTCACGCATAAGTCCAGAGACATGCTAAGTTGAACCCTCGACGTTTATCGCATCATTGGATACACTGCCCGGTGCGCGCTTATCTTAATTGGAGTACCAGTTGCTAACTCACTTCATCCAATGTTTTAATATATTTCCATTTCACAATTTGAGCCAGTTGAAGGATGTTTACGATGGTTTATTCCCGAGTCCTTGGACCTTGTATTTTTTTCAGGTTTCAACGTCTCTTATAATTGGCTAAAAAAAAGAGATATAATAACAAAATGTGGCAACATTGACTGACAGCAGTATTTTCTGGTTGTATCATGGATGTGTTTGTCAATAAAAAAAAGTCTGAAAATGTGACAATATATGCTTTTGTATGACTTTCTATGTTCATAGTGTGATTCTTTGCAATTTAAGCACATAGTTTTCGGATGCAAAATGGTCTCCACATTTTCATTTCCCAAAATAAGTACCCTACAACTTGCGATTCTTTACAACTGAGTATGCAAAAATGTGTGTGCTATACTCAGTTTTGTGAGAGGGGAAACAGGGACGGATCCAGGTTTGGATCAAGAGGGGGGAGGGTGTTGGCTGCCAAGAAGCGCGGGGGAAGGGGTGTTATCAGGCATTTGCTGTGTTTTTCTGCATGTTTTCTATATTTTTGCAGCCCAAGAGACACCCTAACATCCTCTGTAGTTCTGCCAATGGGAAATAGGCTTTTGGGGTTTACGTTTTCATCTGTCTTGAAAAATATGAATTCCACAAGGACAAATCAGTTTTTAAAAGAAAGACGGTTCTGGTTTGTGTTTTGCATGCTTTATAAAAATAAAAGTGGCTATTTTGTTTTGTTTTACTACTGTTCTCCGCAATCTCCAGTTTTACCTTGCACTGTTGATGGCAGTTGATGAATAGGGGGCGTTAAGCATCGGACGGAGGATGTGGTGGTTGTGAAGACGACCGTGGCAGGCTGGGGTAGATCTCCAAACTTACACATGTACATGAAGCTAGTGGTCGGATCCAGTTGGGGTAGGCCTCTGGTTGTCAGAGTCAACTATACAAACAAACAAAAATAGGAAAATAATTTACGGGTGTGACCCAAACGGGTATTCAGAGCTACGGCTACGTATATTGTTCCAAGTAGTTGTACTTGACAAGGACTTGGGCAATAGCTCTAACAAGAAAATAATGTAAGGCCATGTCCTCAATAGTATTCCGAGCTACGGTTGCGTGTATTGTTAAAATGTGCCCACATCCAAGTACACGTAGCTGTAACTATGAACCTAGAAAAGTAGACAATGGCTCTAGAAAAGAGATTCGGATGCAGCCTCCCTGTAGAGCTGTCCGTTTTCGAGTAATTTAGTATTCGATTACTTAAAAGTGCATTTGACCACATATTTGGATATTCGAAACTGCCACCTGCAACTTTGTGCCACGCCAGTCAAAAGTCACACGCAGAGCGCACAAGTTAACATTTGCGTGCGGCGATCGAAATTGGCCGCTGGAGTGTCTTGCAATTAAATGATTTTACAACTGTCGGGGGCCTTAACCTGCTTCAGGATAGGAACAGTTACCACAACCTCCGTCGACAAAAAAGCTATCGTCAACAAAACAAGGTACCGTCGACAAAAAATGTGGCAAGTGACAATAAAGCACGGCAACTTTACGATAATATAACATCACCATCGTGTGTGTATGTGCCTAGCTGTTAGTTTTCGAATATTCCAAAAAGCAAAAAGCTTACCGAATATTCGGTTGGCGATCGAATGTTTGAATATTCTGTGGCTAAAAATCACTTCAGTCAGTGGACTTGAGACCAGGGCCCATTTTCATAAAACCGCTAAGCAGCCAATAATGTAAAGCAGATTTATGTGCGAATCAAACCAAAAATGGGAAAAACTCACAAGCAATTTACATTGCATGACATTTTGGCCGGTTACCTGCTAACATTGCTTAGCAGATGTCTGCGCTTAGCAGCACAATGAAGATTCCCCCTTCATATATGAATTTTGAACAACATGCAGTAAAGGAGGCCAGTAAGTTACCATTTCTTAATAATTATTATTTTTTGCTGGAATCAGAAACTTGACCGAATTTGACCAAAATTTGCGAACTAATTTGTCAATGCGCAATCTTTGATGAAAATAAATCAAGGAAGAAAGAGCAGCCAGTTTTTTTCTTAAAATCTTCTCACCAAAATGCATATTAAAGGTAATATACAACGTTTGCAGACAATCAGTTAAGGAAAATACACAAGAAAGTGTGGATTTGTAATTTAAGAATTCACGAGGCGCGAAGCGCCGAGTGAATTCGTAAATTAAGAATCCACACTTGCGAGTGTATTCTTCGACTTAAACCATTGCGTCAAATGAAGTATTGACATTAACAGTGAGAGGAGATGAAAAGACTTGAGATAAATGTTGCAACCTGACGCCACTTCCGCGATTGTGTACAAAGTCTATGGAGAGTCAAGAATTGTTTTTAAAGTATTTCCTAACAAAATTGGAAATATTTCTCAGTCCCATATTCATGTCTTATCATCATTTTTGCAATGAATGACTTTCATTGAGATGATATATGAAGAAAAAAAAGTGGCATCAGGTTGCAACATTTTTCACGGCTCCTTCCGTCGACATAATTATGGATAGTTCAGACGATGATTTCTTTCTGACTCGAAGTACGTTTTGCAGTGACGGCGGAGAATCTGACAGTGAAGACGCATTGGTAATTTCAGAAGGAAAGTTTTCACGCATACGGTCCAATTATTGCTCATTAGGGAGAAACAATTGTCCGACGTGTTCAAAGTGTGGATTCGTAATTCCGAATCCACACTTTACTATAAAGATTCGTCGTGCCGAATCCACACTTTGTGACCAGTGTAACAGATTCGTAGTTCCGAATCCACACTTTTAACAATAGTGTGACGTCATAGCACAGAACTACCCAGTTACTATGACATAACGTGCTTGACGGTAAGTGAATAGTGTTAAGCATACTGTGAAATCTAGCACTCCTGGTGTGCTGTCGTTTTCAAGAAAAGTATCATTTTTGAATCATTTTCCAACGATGGTTGTTATTTTTTCAAATACTGCTCCCAATTTACCAAATGTAGTTAGTCCACATTTTGTTTGCGCTGTTATGCAAACCAGCCAGTCTGGTTCCCTGACCTGACAATTACCCGACGTCTATAACGTGCTCGGTGCAATTAGAACAATTACTCTAAACACAGGTTGGGTTGTGCCCCGACCACTCCAACAGTTACCATTTCAAAACAGTGATCATTCAATGACAATAAACAAGGAGCGCGAATCCCGGCTAGCCCTATACAGCAAGGGATCACACGAAACTTGCCGATCTTAATTACCTCTTGCGTTCTGGTGCTGGGTGTGTTGGGTGGCTCCACGGATAGGATGGCGATGCACTGGTCCAGGTTGCCCAGCCAGCGTAGATTGGAAGGGTCTGCGGACCCGGCGCACTCGGTCTGGCTCCGTCTTGTGCACCTGCAATATTCAAGGACAAGAATGTTAAAGGATGCAATGCAATTCGTTTAATGCAATCTTGAAAATGCGAATTTTAAGATAATGCGAATTTGTGATGTCATTTCAGGCAGAAATCTTGATGTTACAGCTATTTTAGCACCAAAAGTTGCTAGCATTTTATATTTTGTGCTGTTGTAAAAATAAAACAAAAATTGATGATTCGTTGATGTGTCAGTACATGGCAGTAAGTCAATTAACAACTTCTCACAAATGTTATAAATGAGCGACGTTTTCCGTTCTCAATTCGAACAGAAAACCCCTGAACTTCCTGAAATGAAATCACAGCAACAAAGCCCTCAGTTTTCGGAAAAGCATGGCAAATATCAACATCTTTAAAGAAGTGCATTTTTCGATAAAAATAAAAAACCCAAAAGGGATATCAAATAGTTGTTTTTTACATTTAGGAATATATATATTATCCGTTTCCGGGAAGTAGGGAATTGTTTCCCATATATTCAAATTCTCTGGAGGCGTGGCCTTGGGTGTCTCATAAATAGGAGGCATATGTCGTTTTAGTAGAAGGCTGATCAGTTGTGTGGTGACTGACAGCTAGATGACCAGATCTCCAACAGGGATAAAATGTTTTTCCACAACGAAATGTTAAGTGTTATGGTTTTAAGGCCTGTAGAAATCTGGGCACAGAATCGCTGCACTCTCAAGAGGTCCCCTTCAACGGTGAAACCATTGTGCATGCCATTGCACAAAGCAACTGCTCGTGACGGATTATCTGAACTCTAGCAAGCCCAGTGCTTTTTCCATTTGTGGGGGGCTATGCAAACATATATTCTGTGCAAAGTTGTCATTTCAGTCAAAAGCAGTCAAGTGACTGTTTTTAAAAGTAGAGAGCTCTCTGCCTTCCATAAAGCAGGATAATTGGCTGTGGCTATTTGGGTAACTTGATATAGCTATATGCTTTGACTACAGGTGATTGATAAGCCAGCTGTGCCACCACTTCCATGCTTTTGTCTTTTGACCGAATTCGTACAAAGGAATTGCAAGGGAAGAGGACTGATTTTTTTTTAACTGTTTGTAAAAGTTCCCACATCATGAGGGTTAATGATAGAAGTGACAGCGTGCCCGGATTGGTCCATGTGTCATATTTACTTCTTTTGGAGTGAACACCAGCCACAGTAGGGGTCTCCTACACCGTTGCCAACACCCAGGCAATCCTCACAGGTGGTATGGGTCGAACAGTCTTCAACGGGAATCTTATGGATCTGAAAAATCACAAGGATAAGAAGGGAAATATTTAACAGTTTTCAGTGAACACATTTCAAGTTACAGTATTTTAAACACAACCACCTTTTCAAAGTTCTGTCCACGGATCACAAAAAAGGTGTGCGTTCTTTCAGCAAAACGAAAACAATTCAGCAAAACGAAAACAATTCACACACATCCCTATGTGAGTTTGTTTTCGTTTTGCTAAAAGACACTCAATTTTGTTGTGATCCGTGGACAGAACTTTAAAACGGTGGTTGTATTTAAAATACCGTAACTTGAAAGTACATGGGTGACTTGAATGAGTTTTGTACTAAAAGAAAGCTTATGAATTAGGCTTTCATATCCTACATTTTGAAAGTGATACATGCAAAACTTCACTCACCCTGTTCTTAGCATTATGCTTACCTTTCTCTCTGTCATGAAGTAAATAAAGTTTTTATCAGGGCTGAAGGTGATGCCATTCCTGGCCACGGGTCGTGGGTCACCGCTAAGCATGGCCACCTCTTCATACAAAACGGCCTCCGACGGTGACAACACCCACAACTGTAGGAGAAAAATAGAGGGCCTGGTTTGCGATTTCTTATATAAAATGAATTACTGCAAGACGTAGTAGGATATCTGCAAGCGTTCCTGGTATTTTGTGTTACTTAAGAACATTTTAAATAACAGTTTCCCCATTTCACAAGCTCTTCAAGGTCTTTTGCACTTTACAACCCTTTAAGTTTTGCCAAAAGAAAGGAAAATGTGCCCATCGAGTTAGCGCCCACACTTCAATTTCCTTTGAGGTAATCTTCTGCGGAGTATGGGTCACTTCATATTCCCTGCACAATTCTTTTGTGTGCCTAAGCTCATGGCAAGCAGTAGATTTGGTCACGTGTCATTCTCTCCAATGTGTTTTTTTTTTGTGTAGTGACTGTCTGTTTGTCGGAGTTACATTAACACTTTATATCCCTTCATCTGAAACCGACCTGCAGGGTTTTAAAGGATTTTACGAATTGCACTGAATATTGACTTCCCACTATAAGATTGTTGGTTAAAACACATTTCACATAAGAATCACATTAGCAAGTCAACATTGGCAGACTTCGTGGTGAAGTGCCTCGAAGTTAAGTAAGCGGCATATCAGGAGTTCGAGTATATCATCGTAGCAAGTTGTTACGTGTGGACACACCAAACTAAAAGCCCAGTACGTCACACACGGCAGCAAATGCAAATTAAATGGGAAGAACAAACAATTAGCCAAAACAAAAGGGATATGTATTGAACAACCAGAAATTAATAAGGCGGGGAAACGATGATATCAATTCGTAGAAATTAAGGTGCACGACTTTTAATTATGCTTCAAAGTCAATCCAAATCAGAGTGAGATCAATTAAAAGAATAAATTAATATAATACAAATTTATACAATCATAAATTAAGTATCGGCCGATTCTTACGCGAAATGAGTGAGTAAATGCCCGGTGAACTGAAGAAAATGCAGGAGGCCGGGTTGCTTTGTTAACCGAGTGGGGGTGGGCGGCGTCTTGTCACCTCGGGATTCCGAGGTGTGGTCCACGTCCAACGAGGGGGAGCTTGGCTGACTTGAGTGAAGAGACCGCAGGACTTGACTGGCGATGAGTGGCTCACACGGATAGGGTATCATACCCGTGCCAATAGTTCCCGTGCCATGCCGTCTTGAAGCTTGAATTTTGAATCGTGAGCACGGTGAAGAGCCAAGACGTGGAAAGAACAGCCACGCCCAAGAGGGTCCACTTCAGGTTGCTTGACTTGAATATGCACGAGCTGGTTCTTCAGTGTGGTCAGCGGTCCGCCTGCCCGTGATGGTATGGTTAACAGAGGCGTCGGCATGGTAATGTCTACCCAATTTATAGTGGGCCAGCACATTCCACTTGTTCACTCAAAGTTTATGCAAAGTTAATACAAAGGTAAGTATTTTGGAAGGTTCGGGGGGGCCCAGAGGATTAAACTGATAATCCCTTACCGGCTGGCCCGACCTAAATACATAAAGGGCTCGGGCCCCGGAGGATTAGGCTGATAATCATTCACCAGCTGGCCTGACCCAGATACGTGGAATTTAAATCCCAACTGTAACAATGTTTTTTTCTACAACTCTTGAAAAGCACTGAGCTTACAGACTGATAGCATCATGCCAATAACAGCTAGGTAAAATACAGTTGTACCTGTTTAATGTCATGTACTAATGCCAAATTTCAGATGAGGATATGGCAAGTATACACGTATCATTATTGATTCCGTAATGTCGGACTTGTTTTAGCATGGACGATAAACAACAAATGGGCCTCTTACTTTCTTCAGATGACCAAGTTGATCTCCAAGGAAGATTACAGTCTTGTCAAGATGTGCAGTGACGGCAATGGCCGACAGGACGGAGTTATCGGTATAGATTGCCTGGGCTGCAATGGGAGTGTTTCCGCCAAGGGGACGAATGTAGTCCTCATCGTGGCAGTATTCTGTTCCTTCTGCGTTAATTCTATTCACCTGAAATTACAGTAACGGTGCAAGACATGGGAAAACACAGTTTTTATGTCAGTCAAAGTTTTTACGTCACCATTACTAAGGTCGCGTCTGAATGGACCTTTCCTACCTGTCACACAGTTTGCATTGACCAATGACCTTGTGGCTTTTGATAGGGTGACCATCCTACCCAATTTGTTAGGGTGGTTCACAGGAAATATTGCTTAGCAAATTGATACGTTTGGCAAAAAAATTCAGCTGGGAGCCAATTACAAGTACAGTAACTTCCATCGTAACTCGCCCTGCCCGGCCAGACTCGAAATGGACACATGATTTGGCAAACGTTCGGCTTTTTTAATTTATTCTAATGGTGCATTTTTATTTATTCTAATGGTGAATATTAATAAGAATAATTTCGTAATTTCGTGTGGCAAATCTTTCTTTCGTATCGTTTTTCAAAAGCGTGCGACGCATGCATGAACCACGCTTACTCGGAGTTTTCTAAAGGGTGTAATAAATAGGCCCAGAATACCCTACGCGGGCCAAATCACAATTTGGATGCCCTCAAATTCTTTGTTATTAGAGCATTTTGTGGGCCATGAACTTGAAGGTTTGTGAAAAAGACGGGTGGAAGCCGTGCACAGGAGTGCGAGCTCGTATATCTGTGAACCTCGCGTGAAATTTGGCCCCAAAATTTCTATTTTGCAATGGACCGCAGGCATCATTTTTCGAGATGGCGATGGACCACAGGACTATTTTTCGAGGAGATCATCTTTAAGTGGAATGTTCTCCCGGATAATTGAACAAAAACTTTAGCAGAAAATGAAAGATTATGAAATAATGATGGGTGTCTCAAACAGCTTGGAGAGTTGTGAGTGTTTATAATAATTTTCGGAAGTACGCGTAATTATCACTGAGATCTATGGGTGTCGATTTGCAGGTCTGCACCCCTATGTGTGGTCACATATGACTTTTCCTATTTAATCGCTTGAGTGCGAACTAACTGGGCCAAGTGCGGAGTACACATGTTTCCAATGCGGTTACATGACCACCGGGCTAGCGGTAGCAGTACAAAAGCCAGGATAGTTTGCGGGCGGGTTATCCTGACTACATGTAGTCTGATCACAATGACAGCATATCGCATGCACACAGTATTACGTATTTCACTACCTAATATGTGTATAATACATGTGTATAATAGGGAACAAAAGATACGTCTCCACAAGGTTATCGCGAAATAGATATATGGATTTTACTCAAAATCTAGGAATTTCCAAGGTGTGTTGATCCGTCGCAAATTGAAGTATTTTATGTAAGGGATATTAAGTCCGAATTTTAGCCCAGGAAATTAACTCTGGTTTAAAATAGGAGCATTTTGAAACTAAATTTTTACACTCAAAAATTGTAGTACACGAGAACAAAGAAATGACTCCACATACACATTCCAGTATGTGTGCGTTGGGTAGTATAAATGGTTCATGAAAACAAGTTTCGCGATCTTTTTTACCCTTTTTGTGAGTGTTTCAGCGGCGTTTTCTATTCAATTGGCGGAACAAAACTGAGGTAAAAGGATGCACCGATGCGGGCATTTTAAGTTACGAAGGTATTCATGTACATTAAATATCCTATTCTCTTTAATAACTATGTCGTCGAGATAAGCAGAGTTATCCGACTTTGAGTTATCGGGATTGTACAGTAATATTTTGGCTGGTGATCTGTTTTCTGAGCTTAGCAAATTTCTGTGCTGAGCAGAAATGGGTCCCCGATCTTAATCACTTTACAAAATGTACACAAATCAAATGCGGGAGGTACTAATAACCAGTCGATTGCTTAAATGGCTGAGGTTTGCAGATGTACAGGAGCCTATGGAAGCGGCGTGATCCACTTCTTTCAGTCACAGCCAGTCGATCCTGCTTTTCGCAGGTAGGAACACTAAACTATTAACAATAAACCAGTCACTTTTAACGCTGGGATGGCTTCTTTTGATTTTTTAGTCAGAGAGGGAGGGTCATTAAAGATGTATTCATAAATACCTAAGACAGTTTACGCATTCCTATTGGTCAAGAGCCCGTCACGTGGCCGGTCTTAAACGGATGATAAAGACATGGCTAGCTGGTCTTAAACACTTTTCCAGTGCCACAATAAAATGTGGACTCCTAAAAGTGCCTCTTATCGTTTCATTGATTGAACGTTCACAATTCTCACGTAGGCATGCGCAACACTACCAGGGAGTCCGAATTTTATAGTTCTAAATTCAAAACGCAACGCGCCAGGTGCGTTCTGCGCGACATCGCGCAGAACATGATACGCCCGCGTCAATCTCCATAAAAGGGTTGTTTACATCTTACTTGCCAGCTTGAACACTCCATTATTTTGCAAGAGGGATGTTTCAAAAAGCATAAAGTGAATTTGTTGAACAAAATCGGGATGTTTTGAACGAATCATATGATTTTTTTTTACCGAAAAGGTATTTATGAATGGGAATAAATATGTGCTCCGTCGGTATTTATCACTCTGTTTAAGACCACTTAGAGTCTGGGTGTTGATAATTACCCTCGCCTCCGGCTCGGGTAATTATCAGCACCCAGACTCTAATAAGTGGTCTTAAACAGAGTGATAAAAACCTCCGCAGCACACATTTATTCCCTTAGTATATGATAAAGAATCTCACCAGATTCTGATCATGACTGGGGCACGGTGTGCTGCGAAGCCATGGGATGTCTGTCGTAGCAGTCTGTCCAAGAGCACACTCCTTCCTTCGATTGTAGAACTGTTCGTTAATCCCCTTGATGGAATACATACAGATGGCAGAGGACTCAGTGGGTGTAATCTCATCGACTCTCGATTCGGAGAACGTCACAAACAAAACCTTCTCGCCAACCTCAAAATCACTACTTGAGGCCAGGGCTGATCCTATGGTAGCAACATACGCCGACTGTGCCACATTGTAATCTGTGTCGCCTTGCTTACAGGATAATGGCAACTCTATGTAGGAGTAATACGCTATATCTTGTTGACATACTCTGGCGATTTTGGTATAGAAGGTGGGTTGAATAGCTACCGGGTCCTTTGGCTGTATGGCCACAAAGTAACTAAATTTGGTATTTGAGAAGCCATACAGGTAGTCAATGTTGAACGCATTGTTTGTGATAAAATCTGAAGGAATCTGTATTTCTGCTTCTAAAAAATTGGTGGCGTCTTCCAATATCTCAAAGAGATCCCTACCAGTGTTCTCCACTTGCAAAACTCGACTTGATACTGTTGGCACGGCTTTGTCAATCCATTGCCCATGGGATGTTCCAACATAGAGCACATCTGTACCTAGTGGTCCGGGGGCTATAAAGGCAACCGACGTTCCGTCCGGAGTGTTTGCGGCGATTTCTTGATAGCTGTCATTACCAAGAAGGCCCAAGTCTGAGAGCCTCCGAATTTCGCAAAATCCCTGATATATACTCCCGCAGACAAACAAGCGATCCTGGTCAATGACGAGAAGCTTGTTGATGTTGTCCGTCGTGGTCGTCTCATAATCACACTCAACTGGAGGGGCAATACAGCCCGGATAGTCCTGCCGAGGCCCAGTTTGGATGGTCGCCTCTATGCCCAGATCTGGTGACAGTTTGTAAAGGTGATTGACAGAGCCGACGTACAACGCGCTGGTGTTCTGATCCAGCAGCATGTTCTTCAACTTGATGAGATTGTTCTCTGGCTGGTACACCTCCTCGAAGAAGGGGTACCGGTCGGCCGACGTAAGGACTGTTAGAGCCAGTTGCCAAAGGAACAGGCACCTGACAACAGTCTGAGCAAAGTGTTGAATGCAGCCCACCATTTTAGGTGAAGATCTGTTATTCTCCAAATGCTCGCTATGATGCACTTGAGGATTATGTTCTTACATGTACACGTTATATGTTATATCCGCATGGCTCGACCGTTCTCTTCACTCAGTGAATACGTGAAATTGTCACCCGATCTTTATATCTGAAAAAAAATAAATGAAAAATTGAATTCGAAAATACTTTTAAAAAGTACAGAGAATGTGTTTTTGTAAATCAGAAAGTATGCAAGCAAATGCTGTGAGAACGCGTCCTGGAAAATGTCATGTTCAGACAACCCAATAACAAACAAACAATTAAGAGGATGTAAGTTAACCTTTAGCATGTGTGGCAGGGCCAAGTTTCACTTGTAGTTTTCAATGTATATTTAGTGTTTTTAGTATAGGAGTAGCCCCCCCCCCAAATAAATCCAGCCTTTTTAGTTAATGTCCTGTCCCTGACAGTGTGTGAGCATTCAATAAACATGCTTCCCTTAAAACAAGTTCGATCGGAAATATCTCGGAATCTGCGGGCCCACGAAATCGTGTTCACACTGACCGTTGATTGGATGACATGACCATAACCAATGCACATGCATGGGTCATGTGATTGAACCATGTAGGGAAATAAGCACACGACACCAAACCAATTAGTTTGCGTTGAGTATAATGAATATTATCATTTATTTAATAAAATGTGTTATTTGTAGTGATGATTTGTGTGTTTTGATAATTCATGCAATGAATGGAATTTTTCACTACGTTTACACAGGTATGTTGTGTATTGCAGATTTGTACACGTTTTATGTTTTGTATAATACTACAGTACGTGTATTATGACTTTACTACTGCAAAGTAAATTTTATATGTCCTGTACAGTACATGAATTTATGTTTACATGTATACATACAAGTGGATAATAATATTATGGGCAATTTCACGGTAACTTTCGTTACATTTTTAGGCACTTTGAAACTCCCAAAAGAGTATCATAACTTAATGTATTGTTTTCAACGGTGAGACTTATTTTTTATTCGAACACTGTGACATATATCCGTAGTCTGTTTGAAAATATGAATACAAAGTGGCAAGCTTTGGGGGAGGGGGGACGGCAACAGTTAAACTTTGGTACCTTTCGTTACATACAAAGGACGTGCATAATTTTTTTGAGGTCTTGATTCAAAAGTCTCCTCATGCTGTGCATGCATTGATAAAGATAATCACCGTTTATTTGCTGGTAACTAAACTATTTAGTAGGAGGGTGATACAGGAAATTGCATTTCCCATTTTGTCCACAATCCCTAAAATGATGGTAACTTTCATTGCGGTAACTTACGTTACGATTTGTCCGCCCATCTTTGGTACAAGTTTAAACACTTAAGATACTAATAATCAATAAAAAAAAAATCTGTTGGCATAGCATTTGAACCTTTCTCTCTGACTTAAAAACACAAATTTACAATTACACTACTTTTTGCATTTTCAAACAAGGTGCCAAAATGACTACCAAAAATCCAAAATTTAAGCCAAAAAAAACAGGATTTGTTTACGAAAACACACACTTAACTACGTTCCATCCCACTGGCATACCACTCGAATAAAAGATCTTGTTGTCCCCATTAGTTTGATACCGCATTTGTTGTTGTGATGCTTGTAGATCTGAAGATATAATACATTTCCATTTTTCAGCCATGTCCACTTTTTCGAGGACTTTGCCCAGGCCAGATACTATGTTCATGTAAATGAAACGTGTACATGTACAATATCCAGTTATTGACATGTGTATACATGTATGTGCACATGTACATAGTACTGTGTTAGGCCTTGATCAGACATTTCAAAAAAAAATTAACATTATTATGAAGTTAATTTACATAACAAAGGAAGGCTTAAATTAACAGTCTGTGTCATGATGTAATCACAAAGTCAAGGTACATAAGTATATTACTTACATGCCTTATCGCAACTTGTTTGAAACAACAAAGTGCACATCTACCAGTATGTGCATGTCCGTAAAGCAAATAAAATTTTACAGAACAGGAAAAAGGCCTATGTGTTTATAACTCAAATTCAACTTACATACATGTTTGACGACACACTGAACTTTACACGCGCAACGACTGTACGTCTATATATAAAAACATCACTGCTCATGGTTTTCAACAAAAGAAAGTAGACAAAAAGTGTGTAATGGCTTTAAAATAAACTAGTGATGCAAAGGTCATGATGGAGTCAAGGTTTCATTGGCTGTATATCAATATCCGTGTATATTTGGGAAAGTACTTCAATATTGCACCCTTTATGAGCCGATGGCAGTCTTCACATTGACACATGCGAACCAACCTCAAGCTGACAAAATATTATCTCTGTCGTGTTTGATGTTGTTTCATGCCCAATATATTGTCTTTCTGGTTACAAGTGCAAGTTTATTTTCATTTCCTCAGTTTAGCAGGATATATGTGAATCTTTAAAGCACAAGCCTTCAGAAAAATGATCATGGATATTGATAAAAAGGGGATTTAATCAGATTCGTTTTTCACGGCAGAACACAAACAAGGACAGAATGGGGGACAGGAAAATGGCGATAAAATATCAAGATAAATTCTTTGACAGTAGTGCACATTGGATTTCGGGATCATCTTTAAAAAGAAATCTTTGAACAAACACATCGACCAAATGGGGAACTGTCAACATAGGGCTGGATAGCTCAGTTGGTATACCGGAACAGTATGAGTAAGGGTACGCCTGCGATGCGCCGTCGTTTTATTCAAGTAATAATCCACCACAGTGCTGAACTTTTCAGTATGATGGTGCATGGGTGTTAACACAATCTCTTCAGAAGCAGTTTTGGTGAACGTATTTATATCCCTTCTCATAGTGTCTAAATAGATGGAGAGAGGTCCTCTTCGCTGAAGAAAACAATTTCAAGCCCAAACAAGTGTATACATGCCCAGATTACTCTGTATTTGGTCATCAGTACCCGTGAGAAAAAAAGTTCGAGATTTATCTATATCTGGTTATGGCCTGGCCATCCCCCCCTCCCCCCATCACCACCACAACAGCGTGAGGCTAAATGTATTTAGCCAAAAGAATGAGAAACACCTGTTTGAAGGCTTCAGGACTGGGCCTATAATCAGCCGTGCGGCTGCAAAGGGCGATTTCTAAAGGTTACGTAACGCTCTATTTTGAATGAAACTACATGCACACACAAATGTTCACGTTGGCGGGCGAAATTTTTGGAAATTAATTGCTCCCGTTTGGAAGACGGTATCTTCAGTTCCCTAATACGATGATCCAAGTTTGTGCTAAAAATTGTTGTGGTATGTTCATTACTTTTCGTTGAAATTGGAAAAATGGGCCTGGCTACGTGGGTTTTTTTTAAGTTGTAACACTGGCGTTTGCAATATCTGTTTATCTTTTCAAGCCTCACATATATTAATTGGGTTCCTATATCCATGATGGTGTGTAGTAAAAACTTGCAGAAAAGCCTGCTTCACGAGTTATTAATTGATAAATATCACCCTTATTGCCGGCTTCCATTAGTCGATACCAAGACCCACGCCAAGTCACGCCTAGTGACGCTAATGAATATGCTAATATGCCCGTCGTCATTGTTTGACGGGCCGAAATCAGTCAACCGTAACGTCTACGGCACTTTGCTGAACAATGCACGTGGGTTGGGAGACAAAAAATCCTTGATGGCCTTTTTTTTTAGATAGTTCAAGGTGTAAGCCGGTTTGCAACAACAGATTAAGCTGAAATGCGGAAATATACTTATAAGTGTTTAAACTACTCGCGAAAAAAAAACTTGAAGACATTCCTAGAAATTGATATAAAAACATAGATTTGGGGAAGTTTTCGAACGATTTCTTCCAGACTTGAAGGTTGGCTTTACCAGTAACCAGTATTGACGTTTCGGCATCGATGACGGCGATTTTTTCATTGACATGAAGTTTAAAATTTCTTTTTCCGTTATAATTTAACATTTCAATCATACTGAGCATAATTTTCTAAGAAACAAAACGTTCAAATTGCTATGGTTTTTTGGGTTTCACGAATTTCACTGCTCGTTAACAGCGTCTAAGTACGTAATTGGATTAGCTTTGCTTGACAACCGGCACACTTTTGCCTTTGCAACTATATGGCATTAATGACAGGATGATTGATGGCCTAATGATAACAGCAGCTATACTTTTTACCTCACAAGCCTTGTGGTTAAAGCTAGACAATATAAATAAAATCATATGGGAGTTGGTCTGATCTTTGCCTCAGAAATTTTGGGTCAAAATTTGAACCAGGCTTAAAGAGGCACTCACGATTTTTTTAGCTACGTCTCAAAAGGGAACTTTTTGAGTATAAACATTTTTGACAAAAAAATGCCGGAGAAAAGGGTTTTTTTTTTTAATAAACTGGCAATGTCAGTAGGCCCTATATTCTGCCGCACACCACACAGCTTTTTATTTAAATAAAGTAGAAACTGTTTTAAGGGTAGGGATTCTTTAAAAAAAAATATATTTAAACTGTTTTAAAGGGCCTTGCCATAAAATCAGATTAATATTAAAGCTTCATTAATTACTTTCTTTTTTTAAGAGGAGACAGAGGAGTGACTAGCAGATAGTTGGACATTTAGTTACATTGAATAAAACCTCAATAGACTGTATAGGTATGGGATTAATGATATACTGGATTCTCAGAAAATTGTTCATAAAAAAGGACCTACATGTACACTAGCAATTGGTTTATGGAAATCATCGTTTTCAACCAATACTGATCAGGTTTAGCATACAGTGCATGTACGTACATGTACTAGTTAATACTGATCCAAGAACTGATATTAAGACTGATACAGGAACAAACATGTTTGTGCAGGGATTTGATACACGACCCATTAGTGTTACAAAATAGAACCAAAAATGGACAACAGATACTGGCACAATTAACCATGCCAGGTTGTTTAATACATTCCACAGAAACATAAAAGGCACCCTTGTGTACAAAACAAATGAGATAGTGATCTTTTTTAAATACTCATAAATTTGGGTCAACCCGTAAAAAAAATGCTTCTTAAAATGTTGTACAGACTGGTAACCATAGAAATATGATGCAACACCAAATGTGGAATAAATAGTGGTAGGCAAAGTGAACGTTTGCACGTTTGCAAGTGTGC